TGGCTTAAACTCACCAATCAAAAGACACAGGCTAGTAGACTGGATAAAAAAAATATCCAACAATATGCTGTCTATGGGATACTTATCTGATAGGAAAAGACCTATACAGACTGAAGGTGAAAGGTTGGGAAAAATCATACCATTCACATGGACCTTGGAAGCAAACAGGGGTGTCCATATTCATATCAAATAAAATAGACTTCAAGCCAAAGTTAATCAAAAGGGATAAAGAAGGACATTATATTCTGCTCAAGGGAACCATTCACCAACAAGACATAACAATCATTAATATATATGCCCCAAACAATGGTGCAGCTAGGTTCATCAAACAAACTCTTCTCAAGTTCAAGACTCAAATATACCACAACACAATAATCATGGGTGATTTTAACACACCTCTCTCACCATTGGACAGATCTTCCAAACAAAAGTTGAAAAAAGAAAATATAGAACTCAATAAAACAATTAATAGTTTAGACTTAATTGACATTCATCCCATGGAGTTCATTCCTTAAAAGAAGAAAAAGCTACAAATAAATGACCTCACACTACATCATAAAGCCCTAGGAAAAAAAGAACAAACCAGCAGCAAATGCAGGAGAAGGCAAGAAATAATTAAAATCAAGCTGAAATCAATGAAATTGAAACAAAACAAACAATTTAAAAAATGACAAAACTAAAAGTTTGTTCTTTGAAAAACTAAGTAAGATTGACAGACCCTTAGCCATGCTAACAAAGAGAAGAAGAGAGAGAACCCAAATTATTAGCATATGGAATGATAAAAGCAACATCACAACAGACACTACAGAAATACAGAAGATAATTAGAAATTATTTTGAAACCTTACACTCTAATAAAATAGAAGATAGTGAAGGCATTGATAAATTCCTTAAGTCATATGATCTGCCCAACTGATTCAGGAAGATATACACAACTTAAACAGACCAATATCAAGTGAGGAAATAGAAGAAGCCATCAAAAGACTACCAACCAAGAAAAGCCCAGGACTAGATATTCAGATATACAGCTGAGTTTTACGTTATACAAGATATTTAAAGAAGAACTAATTCCAATACTCTTCAATTTTTTTCAGGAAATAAAAAAAGGAGTATTTCCAAATTAATTCTATGAGGCCACTATCACCCTGATTCCAAAACCAGACAAAGACACCTCAAATAAAGAAAACTTCAGACCAATATCTCTAATGACTATAGATGCAAAAATCCTCAATAAAAATCTGGCAAATTGGAATCAAAAACATATCAAAAAGATCATTCACAATTATCAAGTGGGATTCATCCCAGGGATGCAAGGTTTGTTCAACATATGGCAATCAACAAATGTATTTCATCACATCAATAGACTTAAAGATAAGAACCATGTGATCATTTCTATAGATGCTGAAAAAGCATTTGACAAAGTACAGCATCCCTTTATGTTCAAAACACTAGAAAAACTAGGGATAACAGGAACTAACCTCAACATTGCAAAAGCTATCTACGCTAAGCCTCAGGCCAGCATCATTCTAAATGGAGAAAAACTGAAGGCATTCCCTCTAAAATCAGGAATAAGACAGGGATGCCCTCTCTCACCACTTCTATTCAACATAGTTCTTGAAACACTGGCCAACAATTAGACAGATGAAAGAAATTAAAGGAATAACTATAGGAAAATAAGAACTTAAACTAGCACTATTTGCTGACAATATGATTCTATACTTAATAGACCCAAAAAACTCCACTAGATAACTTCTAGAACTAGTAAGTTAATTCAGCAAAGTAGGAGGATATAAAATCAACACCCATAAATCAACGCCATTTCTGTCTATCAGTGACAAATCCTCTGAAAAGACAATAGGGAAAACAACCCCATTCACTAAATCCTCAAAAAAAAAAATACTTGGGAATCAACATATCAAAAGAGGTGAAAGATCTATACAATGAAAACTATAGAACCCTAAAGAGAGACATTGAAGAAGACCATAGAAGATGGAAAGATCTACCTTGATCATGGATAGGCAGAATTAATATTATCAAAATGACCATACTACCAAAAACACTCTACTCTCACCATGCACCAAAGTTAACTCAAAATGAATCAAGGGTCTAGGAATTAAACCAGAGACTCTGCGTCTAAGAGAAGAAAAAGTAGGACCTTATCTTCATCATGTGGGGCTAGGCTACAACTTCCTTAATAAAACACCTATAGCATAAGAATTAAAACCAGGAATCAACAAATGTGATGATCTCAAACTAAAAAGTTTTTTTTCTCAGCAAGGGAAATAATATGTGAGGTGAATAGGAAGCCTCCATCCTGGGAACAAATTTTTACCCCTCACACATCAGATAGAGTGCTAATCTGTGATATATAAAGAACTCAACAAGATAAGCACCAAAAAAGCCAAATAATCCAATCAATAAATGGGCCAAGGTCCTGAACAGATACTTTTCAGAAGAGGATATACAATCAGTCAACAAATACATGAAAAAATGCTCATCATCTCTAGCAATCAGAGAAATTCAAATTAAACTACTCTAAGACACCATCTCACTCCAGTAAGAATGGCAGCCATTATGAAGTCAAACAACAATAAGTGTTGGTAAGGATGTGGGGAAAAGGGTACACTTCTACATTGCTGGTGGGACTGCAAATTGATGCAGCCAATTTGGAAATAAGTATGGAGATTCCTTGGAAAGCGGGGACTGGAACCACCATTTGACCCAGCTATTCCTCTTCTCGGACTATACCCAAAAGACCTAAAAACAGCAAACTACAGGGACACAGCCACATCAATGTTTATAGCAGCACAATTCACAATAGCTAAACTGTGGAGCCAACCTAGATGTTCTTCAATGGATGAATTAATTAAAAAATTGTGGCATTCATAGACAATGGAATATTACTCAGCACTAAAAAATAATAAGATCATGGCATTTGAATGGAAATGTATGGTATTAGAGCATATTATGCTAAGTGAAGTTAGCCAATCCCAAAAAACAAATGCCAAATGTCTACTCTGATATGAGAGGGGTGACTCAAAATGGGGTACATAGGAATAACATGGGAAGAAGATTACCTGTAGATAGGGAAGAGGGGTGAGATGGAAAGGGAGGGATAAGGGGAATTTCATGGATGATGGAAGGAGACCCTCATCGTACAAAATGCATGTATGAAGATGTGAATTTGGTGTCAACATGTCTTATATACAGAGATATGATAAACTGTGGTATAAAGGTGTATTAAATTTGTAATTCAATAATAATAATAGTAATAGTAATAATAATAATAGAGCTCATTTAAAAATTTTTAAAAAAGAATAAAAGCTTAAAAAAGTAAAAAATAAAAGAGAATAAGATCATGGCATTTGTAGGTAAATAGATGGAGTTATATAAGATAATGCTAAGTGAACTTAGCCAATCCCCCAAAACCAAATGTTGAATGTTTTCTTTGATATATGAAGGCTAATTCATAGTAGGATGGGACAGAGAGCATGGGATGAAGAGACAAACTCTAGATAGGGCAGAGGAGTTGGAGGGGAAGGAAGGGGGCTTAGGGTTAGAAATGATGGTGGAATGTGATAATCATTATTATCCAGAGTACATGTATGAAGACAAGAATTGATGTGAATATACTTTGTATACAACCAGATATAACAAATTGTGTTCTCTCTATATAAAAAGAATTGTAATGGATTCTGTTGTCACATATTAATAAAAAAATCACATAAAAGAAGACATTTTCAAGCATTTGCTCTTACCATCTACATATTCTAAGTATGACCTGGAGAAATCAAGCATTTGGCACTGAGAAATAATTCAGAGCAACAACCACTGGGGCAGAACAAGATAAAGCTGAGTTGGTGATTAAGAATTGAAGACAATCAGCTCTCAATTTTGTTATCAAGGAATCAGAGTTGTGACCTGCTCTGCTGTGTGACCAGCACCCTAGCTTCATACTAGAGGTTCCAAACCTAGAAGTTAACTAGTGAGATCAAAATAAAGACACTTAATATATAAAGAGATGGCCATTCCTGGCTCCTGCCTTGAGCCACCTGGTGGTAGCGAGGTTTACACAAGAGACCAGCAGCAAAGAGGCAGGAGCACGCCAGAGAGTGGGATTTTATTGGGAAACAAAAAAATTCAGGGGAAAATTCCATCCAATGAAGGTCGAGGAGGACAGCATTCCAAGGTCAGGGTCAGTGATTGGTTTCCAGGCCAATGGTCAGTCACACCCCCACACGGACAAGCCCTCACATCCAGAAAGGGTGGGGAAAGTTCTGACTCAGCTGGTCTGAGCGCCTCACACCCAGTCAGGGAGGTATCTCAGTCACGTGTGAGAATGGCTTCCCACAACCTGTCAATTCTGATTTTAATTGCCCCTAACACTGACCATAGAATTATTTTTAACCACATTGTAATATATACTTCCTTTCAGCCCTGTGATAATCTTTCCCTATATCAAAAGTAGACCTTATGTAGAGAGGAAACAATGCAAAGGTCAGTTTGTCTCTAGGTACCATCTAGGGTTGACATCAAGTGTCACAATGAAAAAATTGTTAATTTACCAAGTATCAGAATGTGCTAAGATGGGTAGTACTAGCAATACAGTACCCCTTAGGCTTTAAGTCGAACACTTTCAACCAATAATTAAATTTTTAATGATTCTATTGTAAACAAAACCCTGTAAGTAATTTGGTCACAGTATAACTGTCTGAATTATAAAGCTTCAGAAGTACTGAGGTGAAAGTCTTGTAGAAATAGAAAATAGAAAGAAGAGAAAGCCATACTAAAAAAATGTGAGGGATATAATCTTCCTGGATCAATATTTCAAAAGTAAGTACTGTCTGATTAGATTTTGCCTACTACTACTCTCATACACCTTTCTCAGTAAAAGTTTTGCATTTGAGACAAATTAATGAAATTAAGGTATTTTCTATTAGTGTACATTTGGACATACTTCTGGATTTTGTATTTTTTACATGGAGTTTATTGTATTCTTACCTTTGTATTTCATCAGAAATTTTATTTTTAATTTCATACACTTGAGATTCTAGCTTGCCAATTCTGAATTGCATCAACTCCATTAATGAAATCTTATAATATTCATTCATCTTCTCTAAAATTTTCACAGCTGTATAAAATGTCTAAAGAAAATTGAAAGGACATTTTTTAAGAAAATATTTTTATAGTAGATGAAAATAACACCTTTATTTAAATTTTATGTGGTGCTGAGAATTGAACCCAGTGTCTCATATGTGCATTGTAAGTACTCTACCAACTGAGCTATAACTCAAGCCCGAAATGACATATTTTTAAAATAACCATTACCCAAAAAATTATTTGCATATTTTATTGCTTTAGTTAGAATTAATTATTCAGAGAGCAATTTTTAAACAGGTGGGCAAAAGATGCTGGAGTTTTTTCATCAAAGTAAATTGCCTTTTTTTTCTTTTCTATTCTTTGGCATTGAAACACAAGGCCTTGAAAAGGCTACAGAATACACAAACTATCTACCACTGAAATAAGACCTCAGCCATGAATCATTCTCATAATAGTATCAGTAATGTGAAAAGTAAAACAAAAAATTGTAAAATCATTTCAAAATAAAAAAAATCATTTAACAATTCAAAAGGATGATATACTTTGACTTCACAGTTTTTTTCCTGCTTTCATTGTCTTATTAATACAACTATACTTAAATATTGAATGGGTCTCAAAGTCATTTTTTGAGAGATGAAGTCAGTTTTTACAATGATGGAAAATGAAATATTTAAAAATTCCATCTTGCTCTGCAAAATCTACAAAAAAAGTTTCCTCAAGGAATGTAGATGACCCACATAAAATGCAAATATCCAAAATAAAATTTTCAGTGAAATGAATGAAAGCATATTATAGATAAAAAAAAATAACCTCTGAAAACAGAGATGCTTGTTTTTGGTTTTCCTTTAAAATCTCTCTTGTTCTTTGTCCAATCTCCCATCCATGAGGCTCTCCTTGACCATTTTTAATTTTATTGTCTTGCACATATATTTTGAGATTTTCTACATCTTCTTCCAATTTCTTTTGATTGCTCTGTAGTTTTTCACATGTATTTTGAAGGTTTTTCAAAGCAAGTGTAAATTTTCCATCCAACTGTAAATATTTTAAATATGTAGCTTCTATGTTTGTATTGACAATGTCGGCCTGCATGAATAAAACAACAGTGTTTCATAATTTAAAAAAAGCATGTTGATATTATTTGAGCACAAATTTATCCAAAACCACAAAAATCTCTCGACACATGTGAGGATTGATGCACAATTCTCATGTACAAATCTCAGCATTCCTGAGGGTAGTCAAATAGTTTGTTTTTTTTTAACCACTGATTAAACCCAGGAGTGCTTCACCACTGAGCTGTATCCCCACTTAATTTTGAGACAGGGACTTGCTAAGTTGCTTAAGACCTCACTAGGTTGCTAAGACTGGCCTTGAACTTCTGATCTTCTGGCCTTAGTCTTCCAAGTCACTGGATTACAAGTGAGAAAAGATGCATGATATTATAAAAAAATATAAAAATGAAATTCAGAATTTATGAACAAATGCACTAAAAAGGCAATTAAATTATAATAAAACTAATTATACTAAAAATCCAAAAAACTGTCCACGGAAATTTGTATGCTAATATATTTTACATTATTGAAGCAGATGCAAATCAATGGTTGACAAATACAATTAATACATACTTTACAATTGATTTGATCTAGTTTCTTCTTCAAACCCTGTACCTCATCTTCTACTTTAAGGTGATTACTGGATGAATGTTCTAGTGAAGCCTCTGACATTGGTTGCTCTGTCAGATTACCAGCCAGTTCTTGTGGAAGTTGTCTCAAAACTACCTGAGGAGATATGTCTATTAAAGATTTTGTAAATCATTTCACATTTTGTTAATCAATTTAAAACTGAAAGGGACTTTGAGAAACATTATCATTAATTCATCTATTTTCCTCCTGTGTATAAAATTCTATTTATTTCTGAATTCCAACAAGGATATAGAAGGTGCTTTCTCCCTGCCTTGTTACTGTCATGGTGCTTAGACAACAGATTCAGCCCTCTGTCCACTTCTCACTTGATGAAAGGCTTCACAACCTACTGAATTCTCAAACAGAAATGGTTATGCAGGTCTTACTAGGAGTAGTGAGTGCTATACAGAAGTCTACTTAAAAACTGAGTTCTAAACATATTCAATCCTATACACAAATCCTATAGACTACCACTTCCTAAAAATGTGAGGCCCCAAGCAACCTGACCTTTACCTTCCTCTCTCTCTTCAACTCTTTCAACCCTCCCCTCTTCTCACCCTATTGTAACTGCACAAAACTCTACTTGCATTTGTTGAAAATGGGAATTCATTGCCTAATTAATGAGTCTGGGAGCTACAATTATCTTTGTACTAGAATAGTTCATATCTGTTATATGACAGCAATTGAACTTTGAAATGAAAAGTATTAGCAAGTTATCTGAATATAGGCAATAAATTCCAGATACAACAGGAAAATTAAATCAACATGGGTTTTGCTACAATGCATTGCATTTGTCCCAAATTAATATTTAATGACAGCAGATCCTTTTATAGTGTTGGAAGGAGATGAGGATAAAAATATTGATCCAGTTATTTTCAGAATTAAGTCAAATTTATGTGAATAAAATCAAATTACCAATTAGAAATGTATAAAATGCTAGTGCAGGAAGTCTATTAAAAACTATGTCATCTACATTTCACTTCAGCTGGGATATTTGGAATGGGTTTTCAAAGTAACCCACTGAATTTAAACTAGATATGAGCATTTCCATTTATCTGTTTCCTCATGGTCTTAAAAAGTATGGCAACATGAAGACTTTCAAGTTACTATTGAGGGCTGCACAAGACCACGGATTCCATCTCCAACACCAAAAAGAGATATTGTTTCAGCAATGTTAATTCTACATTATTAATATGACTTATCCACTTGAAACTTCATTTGTATGTAAAGAAACAATGCCTAGTAAACACACAATGTCTCAAAATAAAACATCTCCATTTACAAGGCTTTAAATTATGTCCCTTTTTTTAAATGTTAATATCAGTTTCATGTAAGGCTAAACTTTTTGGTTTTAGTTAGCACACAATTTTATTTATTCATGAGAATTTTATTTATTCATGTGTGTTACTTCAAAACATGTATACAATGTGTAACCTTCATTAGCAGACTTATTACTGCACACATGAATCATTTCATTGTGTTGGAAATCAGGCTTGCCATCATCAAATTTCACTGAATTCTCCTTCAAAGAAGATCCATATATCTTGCTGAATACTTACTTTTCTCTCAGATTTCTTTTTATATTGATTTAATCTTTCTTTGAAGTGACAATTTGTATTCATTAATTCCAAATATCCATCTTGAAGCTTGCAACTGGAGTTTTCAGCCTCATCCTGAATTATTTTTATGGGATTATATTGCTCTTGGGTACAAATGAGCAAGCCTTGTGTATCATCAACTTTGTTGCGAAGGTCATAGAACTGTTGTCTTAGCAATGTAATTTCACTTTCCATTTGAGATAATCTCTCATCTATAGATTCCCGTTCTTTGTATTTTTGACTCTGTTTATTTTGATATATGTGCTTTATTTCATTCATTTGGCCTTTTTCCTGTTCTCTGAATTTTATTCCAGGGTTGGCAAATTTTGGGGACTGAATCAGCCTCCTAACATTTTGTTTTGAAATTTTGAAATTTTCCTTTTCCTTTAAATCAGGGCATCCATCTCTTGATCTCTGGGAAATAAGTTCTTGTTCTCTTTTTGATGTCTGACTTCCATCACAATGTTGTGGAGCAACAGTCTGACTGACAGGGTATGATTTGACTTCTGTTTCCTGTCTTTTGGTGTTTTGTTCTTTATTTTCCAGTTTAATGTTTAGCTTTGTAATCTCAGTTTTCAGAGCATCAATCTGTTCATTATTTTGCAATGTTGTTTTTCTAAGTGTTTCCTCAATCAATTCGATTGACCTTTCAAGGTCATCATATTTCTCTCTTGAAATGTCCATGACATCTTCCTCATTCTGACATTTCATTTGGTTCATCTCCAGACTCAGCATATCACATTTATCCTTCAATATGTGGAATTCATGCAAGAGCACTTTCTCTGTTTCATTCTTGGTAGAAACCTAAAGAAAATCAAGGAGACGTTTAGCTAGCACTCAATGAAATAACATGTCACAATTTTCTCTGAAACTAAAGTTTGAACATGTACATATATGCAATGGAAGGGTTGCAATACATGGATATCCAACTGGAGAAAAATTAGATGTAAATCTCAGAGTTCACAAGGTGTATTGAAGAAAATGAATCTATGAGTGTAAAAAATGATATTTTTAAAGAATTTCAAAATTGAAAAAGCCTTTTTCTAAATTACAATGGATTCGAGATATAAGGTAAGTGATTATGAACTTTGACCATGTTAAAACAAAGTTTGTGGGTTGGGGTTGTGGATCAGTGGTAGAGCGCTTGCCTTGCATGTGTGAGGCACTGGGCTCAATCCTAAGAATGACACATAAATAAATGAATAAATAAAGATCCATCAACAATTAAAAAAACTCAATCAAGTTTGCATTCTGATACTGATACCTCGTGTATACAGCCATCCAATCCATAATAAGGGTCTTAGCTCCATACACATTTGGACAGTTAAAATTTCCCTAAGTTCTTTAAGTTCCCTATTCCTGAAAATATTCTACATGTACTCTATTTTTTCAACATTTTTTGCAGTCAGTTATAAGAATTGTAGCTATTGATAAATGAGAAATCCAGACACTGTACTTAATTAGCATTTTGCATATACCAAGGAACTTTTTATCACAATTGGAAACATTCAATGATATAAATATGAGCAAGCTGCTTCTAGTGCTCTTCCATTAACTAGTTATGTCTCTGCTGTAAAAATAAAAACACAAAAGAAGGCTTGTGTTTCATAATACTAGTCATAAATAAGATCTCATTTGTTGTGCTCTTCTCAGAAAATCCTGAGGTTGTTTTCTGCTCAGTAAGATTTGTTTCTTCTTCTTTTTTTTTTTTTTTTTTTCTGGTTTTAACTTCACATTTAAAAATTTCCTTTTGTTTCCTTTTTTTTTTTTTTTTTTTTTTGGTAAAGTCTGAAACATGAGCAAATGTAAAATAAGGGAAATGAACTGACCTCATTTATCAGGAATGACATCCTTACCAATAAATCATTACTAAGTAAAATAGTATGATATATCATTGTCTCCAAAAGTTTTTTTTTTTTTTTGTACTGAAATAGGACATTACTTGGAGAAAACTGTTTTTCTTCTCCTACATGAGAAAGTGCTATCCAAACTAGGGTTTCTGCTGGCTATGCTTTGCCTGCTTACTTAGTGGTGGGAGTAATAATCTAACCTCCATAATAATATACCAAGAGGGTGAAATAACACCCCCAAACTAGAACAGTTGTGTTAGTAACAAGGCTTTTGAGATTATGGGAAAGCCATCAATTCCTACAGAAATTATTAAAAGTTTTTTCCCTAGATGTGGCCAATGCTACTACTGGACTTCTGCTGACAAATGGAGTTGAATTAAGAACATTAATTAGTACAATGGGACCAAAATGCCACCCTCAACTCAAAAATAGGGTACATTAAGGATATACATATATGGCTTTAAAATTCTCTACACTTTTCTACAATGGATCTAGTTACTGTTCCATATATTTTCATACACGCACACAACACATTCACACAAAGAGACAAGCATTTGAAAACAACAGAAAATAATTCAAGAAACATTTTGTTTTTTTTTACCATGCATCTCTCCTTTTGTTTGGAAAGGTGATTTTACAGAATTCTATCTTGTAAATTCTGGCATTACATTCTCAAGAATATATTGCCTCTAGTTGTCCTTGGAGTTGGCTAACACCTAAAGATTCATTTCAGTACAGTGGGGAGAAAGTCTAAAAGTTTAATCAAGAGCAGTATGTGTTAAAAAAAAACACCTACTAAAACCAAGTAGTAGTCTATTAAACTATACAGACCTTTATCCCATATGAATTACTCAAATTTTAACTGTAGAAATTACAGGTAAATTTGTCACATAGAAAAAATTTTCTTAAAGTCATAAAACAAAATTATAAAAAAATTTAAGAACTCAGTTAATTTGTCCCATGATTTTTTCAAAGCTCTTCATCCTGTATCTGAACATAAAAATCCCTAAATTAACATGTGTGCTACTGATTGAACTCAACTTACCTTTTATTCTCCTATTCAGAAAACATATGCTGAGCATCTATATGATGCCAAGATAAGGAATAAATAAATTTAGTGATAAATGTTATGATTTCATCTTAGGAAGAGACATTTTGTTTTAAGACCAAATAATAGAGAGTCACACACTGTGTAACAATGCTTTGTGAGACAACAGACTACATATTTCAATAGTAGTACCAGAAATTTGTGGAAGATGTACACATTTTGTATGAGCACATGCCAGCAATGATTGCATAATGAAAGCCAATAACACATTTCTCAGATCATGTCCCCACCATTAAGTGAAACATGACCAATAAAGGGATAGTATAAATAAAGTAAGAAATTCGAAGCAATACTAAAAACGAATTTACCTGAATCGAGTTACTTTTTGCAGTCTTTAATTCTGTTCTTAATGTCCCAGAAGACAGTTGAAGTTCCTTATTCAATTCAATTTCTTTATTATATTTATGATCTTTTTCTCTTAACTGGTGATTCATTTTTTCGAAAAGCTGATCAAAATCTCTTAATTTCTTCTCTTTTTCTTTTAAGTCATTCCTGCAGTTCAATATGATTATCTTAAAAATTTATTTTGTCAGAAAACAAAAGGTACATTTTGTGTTCTGGTTCTTCATAGGTTGATTCGTTAGGTTAATAAAAATTCTATGTCCTAAGATTCTTTTCTCACCTTTTAAAATTTCCCCTTCAATCTTTTGAAAAACAAACTAGAAATAATAATAAAAGATCTTTCTGTCAGTTAGGAAATGACTCTTACTAGTAACTCCAGTAGATACTATTGGAGAAGGACTTTTGAAATGAATTCATAAATTAAGTGCTTGAAATTATTTGGGGTGGGGAATCTGGGATGTGGATCAATGGTAGAGTGCTTGCCTGCTGGGCACCCTGTGATCCATCCCCAGCATTGCCAAAAGAAAAAACAATGATCATTTTTGCACTGTTATAATTCTTCCTTAGTTAAAAGAGATTTAAAGACTAATTGTTTACAAACAAGTACATAAATTCACTAGTACTTACCTTTTATATTCATGAAATAAAACAGCAATCACTGCAATTGATTGCCATTGTAACATACCACCTTCAGAAGTTGTTCACATAGCATCTGTCTGCACATTAGCATAACGCAAGACCAGGCTAAGGGGTCCAGTTCCCATTTAATGTTTCTTTTAGGTAACACTTTCAATTTAGCTTGTTTATCATTATGTATTTTGTAAACAACTCAAAATCCCATTTGAAACAAGGCACAACTGTTATCCCAATATTGAAACCTTCAAATAACTCTCAGACCACATACTGCCATTCCAATTAAGCCTTTATTGCTGGCCAGTGGTGGACACTCTACTCTCTAAAAATGAAATTATCAGAGTGATGCACCCTCACTCCCAAGTTTGGTTTTATATTTAAACCAAAAAACCATAAAAGGGATGTTAGGGGTTTAGCCAATGCAAGCAAGCCAAGTTAACAGAAGCAGGAGAATGCAGTCAGGCAGCAGGAGGCTTATCCAATAAAAATAACCCCAGTTCCCCAGTTACAGAAACAGAGAGTTTTGTGTTCTTGAGGATTTCCACAACAAAAGGAAAAACAGCTTTCTCCAGTCATGACCTTTCTAGTTGGTGTAGCTGTTTCACAAAATGGAGTTACTAAACAAAATGGAGTCACTATAGACAAGACTTCTGCTCATCATACAACCTTATATTTAGTCCAACGATAAAGAATATGTGTGATTTCAACATAGAACTTTGACCAAATTTTATGAGAAAGTAAAAAAAAAATGTTTTCCATTTCAATTTTTTTTAATGTATGTTAGGATTCAAACCATAGCCCAGGATGTAATTCCACGGGAGCATACTTAGTTGCACCAAACTTTGGATCATTTGATCCTAAGCATCAGAAAAAAAAAAGTATAAATATTTTAAAATGCATTTTAGGATATGCACAAAAATGACTTCTTCATAAGGCAACTCCCCAAACCAAAGGCCAAACGTTTTCTTTGATAAGTGGATGTTAGTCCATAATGGGGGGTGGGTCGGGGGAAGAATGAAGGGACTTTAGATTGTGTTGAAGGAAGTGAGAAGAGGAGAGGGTTTGTGGGAATGGGAATATCAGATGGACATTCTTACTCCATACACATGTATGATCACATTACTGGTATGACTCTACACCTTGTTCAAGCATAGGAAGGACTTGTGCTCCATTTGTATATAATGTGTCAAAATGCATTCTATTGTCATGTATAACTAATTAGAACAAATTTTTTAAAAATGGTCATTTCATTCTCTTTGGTGGAATTATAAACTAATATAAAATGTCTTGAGAGCAATTTAGAAATGTTGATCAAATGTCTTTTCATGAAGTTATTCTTTTTAACCAAATAATTTTATATTAAAAATTTATTCAAACTAAACAGATATATAAATTAATTTCCATGATATTAAGTCATTTGCAGGAAACAGTAGGAATCAGACAATTTTTAAGCAAAATAAGTCGAATTCATAAGGTTAAGCTTCATATGTTTTCTCTCATATGTGGAAACTAGAAAGGCAAAAGATAAGAAAGTTGTGGGGTGATCTCAGGGAGATGAAAGGAGCCAATTGTAGCAGAGGGAGAAGGGGAGAGAAAGGAAAAAGGTAGGGAATAATATAGATCAAATTATATTGTTATATAGTGTGTAACATGAATATGTAACAAAAATCCCCCCATTTAAACAAGTGCAATGCATCTATAAAAATATGGAAATAATAATTTTTGTAAATGAGGTTCTGTGAAGCATTGATTGTAATAAAAAAATAAAAATATGAATGAAAAATCCCAAATTCCACTTATTTAATCAATAGTGAGATCCTTCTGACAGTGAGATTTCTATATAGCCATTGAATTATGATTGCAAATAACGTGAATTTAGTTATTAGAAGTAATCAATATGTCACCTTTTTGTAAGGATTTCAGACTCTACAAGTATAAGTAGTTTTCTCCATTGCAAAATGTCAGGTAAATTTTTGCAGGTAAATCAGCAAAAATTACAAATATTCCCTATGTACCTTTAGGGTGAAGAAAGAGTTCAAACCTTCTTTCAATCTAGGGTATCATACCTCAAGTGGCAGAGTTCTTGTTTCCATTTTATTTCTCTCTGCTCTAACTTAGTTTTCACATTTTTCATTTCTGATAATTTCTCTTTCATTCCACAAAGTTTATTTTCCAGTTTTACCACTTCTTGCTTATGTAACAAACTCTGTGAACAGTGACTTTTTTCAAGTTCTATTATTCTTTGACATGAATCAACTGAATTTTGGATTTTTGGTAGGCTATGAGGATCTGCATCGTGGAGAAAACAAGATAGAAATAAAATACTTGAGTATTTTCATCTGTGAAGGATACTACATCTCCCCAAGTATTCCCCTATGACATGAAAGCCATTATACTAAGTTCTACAGATAAAACAGATGAGAACCATGCTCTCCTTTAGCTTAAAGTCTAGTGGAGAAGACTTACAGTGAAGAATTCAGCCTAGATAGATGACCTAACAAAGCATAAAAACAAGATCATCTAGGGTCAAGCTGATTATATGTGACCTAACTGAATTCCAAAATATAATGCAAAAACAGAAGAGGCTTGAAAGATATTTTTAAAAACAAAGTGCACTTTTAGGAGGAAAACTGAAAATGACCAAAGAGCATGGATAACACAGGTTTGAACTCTGTGGGTTGTCACATAGAAGATCAATCAACTACTGGAAGCCAAGAAAAACAAAATATAGCAAAGAAAACGACGATCAAACCTCTATCCTTAACTTTGGATGTAAGTGTTCTCAACTCCCCAATTAAAAGATGCATATTGTTAGAATGGATTCAAAAACAAGATCCAACCAGATGTTGTTTGCAAGAAACTCATCTCATATGCAAAGCCACTGTATTATTAGTCAGCTTTTTCACTGCTCTGACTAAATGACCTGACCAGCACAACTGTAGAGGAGGAAGAGTTTATTGAAGGACTTACAGTTTTGGAAATCTTAGACCATAGAAGGCCATATCCATTCCTTGGGGCTTGAGGCAAAGCTGAACATCATGATTGGAGAATGTGTTGAAGGGAAGCAGCTCAAGTTATGATCAGGAAGCAGAAAGAGACCACTTGCTGCATACCAATAGATACCCAAAGCCACTCCCCAATCCCCAAATCCTCCAGCCTCACCCTAACAACTTTCAGTTACCACACAGTTAATCCCAAACAGGGGATTAAATCATGGATTTTGTTAAGACACTTACAAGTCAAATCACTTCTCCTCTGAACCTTCTTGCTCTGTATCACACAGGAGCCTGTTGGGGACACCTCATCCCCAAACCATGACAGATAGCCATAGACTGAATGTAAACTCCTGGAAAATTTTTCCATTCTTAAATTCCAAAGGGAAGCAGAAGTAGCTATTCTCATTTGACAAAGCAGATTTGAAGCAAAAATCACAAGAGACAAGGAATGTCACTACATACTAGTAAAATTTCAAATCAACAAAAAAATATAAAAATAGAAAGTATGTATGCCCCAAATGATAGTGAACCTAATTACATTTAAACAATGCTTCTTTAAATCAGCATACTATAGTAAAGCAGCCACATCTGTATTTATAGCAACTCAATTTACAATGGCCCAACTATAGTACCAACTTCAATGTCCTTCAATAGATGAATGTATAAATAAATTGTTGTGTACATACACAATGGAATATTACTCAGCATTAAAAGAGAATAAATTTATGGCATTTGCAGGTAAATGGATGAAGTTGGAGAATATCATGCTAAGCAAAGTAAGTCAATCCTAAAAAAACAATGCTGAATGTTCTCTCTGATAAGTTAATGCTGATCCTTAATGGGGGGTCGGGGGCATGTGTGAAAAATGGAGGAACTTTGGGCAAATGTTAGAGAGTGAAGGTAAAAGGGTATGGTGGCAGGAAAGATGATGGAATGAGATGGACATCATCACCCAAGGTACATGTATGACTGCACATATGGAGCAATGCTACATCACGTATAACAAAAGAGAAATGAAAAGTCGTGCTGCAATTGTGTACAATGAATTGAAATACATTCTGCTGTCATATATGCCTAAATGAATAAATAAATAAATAAGTAAACAATGTTTCTTGATGCGAAATATCAGATAGACACCAAAATAATAACACTAGGAAATTTCAAAAACATCTTTGTCACCAATAGACAGCAAATACAAGGGCAAAAATAGACATTGAGACCTAAATAATACTCTAATTCAAATGAATTTAATAACTACTCATATTTAACCACAAAATAGCTGAACTCACTATCTTCCCAGCCATGCATGGAACCTTTTTCAAAATAAAACATATTCTAGGTCACAATGAAAGTCATTGCAAATATAAAATAAACCTTATATAATTCTATGCATTCTATCAGATCATAATGAAATGAAACTAGAAATCAATAGCAAGAAAAATAAGAAATCACATAAACTGAACAAAATCAAACAATACTCTTTTAAAAGAGGAGTGGATTATAGAAGAAATGAGAGGATAAACAGATAAATATTTAGAAACAAATCAGAACAGAAATACAACATATCAAAATCTCTGGGTCAGTTTTGAGAAGAAAATTCATAAGTACTGAGTGCCTTCACTAATGAAATAGAAAGTTTTCAAATAAAGAATCGAGTGTTCCAACTTTCAAGGTCTTAGAAAAGGAAGAACAAACTAATTCCCTAATAAAAAGCATATAGGAAATAACCAAGATAAGAGCTAAAATTAATTGAGAATGTAAAAGACATAGGATCAATGAGATATAGTCAGCTTTTTCAAAAGATAAATAAGGTCAATAAACCCTTAGCCAAACTAACAAAAAATGACAGAAATCAATAAAATTGTGGATGAAAAATGAGATACCATTAGCAATATTTCTGAAATCCAGAGGATTATTAGGAACTATTTTTTCAAGTTTCTACTGTAATAAATTGGAAGATCTAGAAACCTTGGCATATTTCTAGACATATATGAGCTTCCAAAATTACACCAGGAAGACATCAGAACCCCAAACATATCAATATAAAGTAATGAAATCGAAACAGCAATGAATAGCCTTCCAACAAAGAAAAATCCAGGACCAGATGGGAATCCCGGCTGAGTTCTAACAGACCTTTAGTGAAGAACTAACACCAATCTTTGTCAAACTCTTCTACAAAACTTAAAGAAAGGGAATACTCCCAAATACACTCTACGGAGCCAGTATATTCCTGACATATTCAGGAAAGAAAACTAAAGGAAAATATCCCTAATGAATATACATGTAAAAATCCCTAATGAAATATTAGCAAATGGCATTAAAAAAACATCAAGAAGTTAACATACCATGAAAAAGGTTGCTTCCATCCCAAGAATGCAAGGTTGCTTCAACATAGGAAAATCAATAAATGTAATTCACCATATAAATAGAATAAAGAAAAGAATCATATGATCATCTAAACAGATGCAGAAAAGGCTTTGATATATAAATTTAGCACCCACTCATATTAAAAATGATAGAGAAACTAGGCAAGGAAGAAACTTACTACAATATTATGAAGGCTATACAAAAACAAAGTCAATTACACTGCATAAAAATGGAAAGCATTTTCTCTAAAATCAGGAGCAAAGAAAAGATGTCCAATTTTATCAATCCTATTCAATGTACTTTTTGAAATTCAAAGCAGAACAATCCTGCAAGATAAGGACATTATAGGGCTATTAATAGTAAAAGAAGAATGCAAATTTTCTTTTTAATATTGACATTATCCTATATCTAGAAAACCTCAAAGAAACTCCACCAGAGGATTTCTAGAGCTGATAAGGAATTCAGCAGAGCAGCTGGTAACAAGATCAACATTCATTAATCAACATCTTTCCAGTATACCAAACATAATTCTGCTAATAAAAAAATGAGGAAATCTATCCCATTAAAATTAAGAAAAATTTAAAAACTTAAAAAAATTTAAAAACTAAAAAAATTAAAATGCCTAGGAATTGTTTTATTTAGCTTTTCTCACTGTGACACAAAGATCTGACCTGAACAATGTAGAGAAGGGAAAATGTATTTGGGGCTCAGGGTTTCAGAAGTCCATACAAAGCTGACTCCACAGGTCTGGGCCTAAGGTGAGGCAGAACATCATGGCAGAAAGACTTGGTAAAGGAAAGCAGTTCAGAACATGGCCACCCACCAGGAAGCAGTGACAGCGCCACTCAACAGGTAGTCCTCAAGTGACCTACCTCCTCAAAGCACACCCTACTTGACTATTGATTACCACCCAACTAATCCATTTGAAGAGCATGGAAAATGCTACAAATACATTGAAAAAATAATTTGGCAGTATCTTATTAAGGGCATATAAAGGAACATGAGAAGACTTTTACAGGATTTCTTAACTATCTTGATTATGGTGATTCATGACATGTGTTTAATACATAAGTCAAAACTTGTCAAGTTGCACATTTTTTATATGTGCAGTTTACCTTATGTCAATAATGCCTCATTAAATCTTTTGAAAACAAAAAACTCTGTTGTAAGAAACACCTTAGTGACTGGGATACAGACAGACACAGGAGAAAGCTAGATGTTTGAGGTCTTTAATCTTATAGCAAAGAGAAGTAATACTTGGGTTTTAAGGAAGGGGTAAGCTATATCAGAACTGAATTATTTTGAAGTATATGATTTGGTTGCAGAAAAAAATACACAGTTGGAGGAGGTGGGTAGCAGGGAAAGGAGGTCTAAGGTTACTACAGAATTCATATAGAGATAATGGCAAGCTGATATGATCATCCTTCAGGCCCAAGGGAACAACAGAGCCAAAAAAGGAGTGGGGTGCCATTCACAAAGAAAAGTGCAGTGGGGATGATCCAGGGGTGTACTTGAGAGTGTATCACACTTCTCATTATATTTCAATGCAAAGCACCTTTCTGAAATGAACAATACTGTAACACATCAGTGTTCTATGGTTCAATACTAAGTAATGTGTACATCTATTACTATAGTATACCTCATTATGCAAAGGTCCTACCTTCAAATGACCTGCTTGGTTTTTTAACGTATGCACAAATATCATAATAATTAGGGCAAGTCCCTTGAAAAGCTGTTGAGGCTATGACAGTTGGCTGTGATTCATCAAGGTCTTTCATAGCGTTTATTTCTTTTTTGACCTATAAAACAACAATCCAATATCAAAATGTACCCAAATACATATAACATATACTCAATACATACAGAGACAATTATCCACCAGTGTATATATACCTGTGCAAAAGCACAGGTAGTTTTTCAAAGAACTGATTTCTGTCAAAAGGAAACCTTTATCAATGGTTATATTTTCTTACTCATTTTCAAAGTTAAAGTCTGTACATAACAAAAAATTTTCTATTTTTCACTTTACCTTTTACAATATATTTTTAATTTATATTTTTGTATTGTGTCACCTTGACTTTCATAATGCACTTTAACAATAAAATATTATCTTGTATTATTTGTAACAATACCTTGCTCTTTTCATTAGGTGTTTTCTCTGTGTGCCTAAAAGAGAAAATGAAAGAAACATATAATATTCTTTCAGAAAAATTCAAAGTATATAAAATGCAATAAGCCTATTATCTTTCATATATAAATTCTCTATATTTTTAATTTATTTCTTGTACCCATACATTTTATGATCATGTTCCACAATCGAGATTCAAGTGTAAACAAAAAGAATAGCATTAAGAGATGAAGAACACTACTACTAATTGTCTCAAAACCAAAACTTAAGTTTAGATCACCCCTTCTGACAGTAAAAGCAAAATGAATAATGGCACTTGCATTATTTGATAGAAATGTGATAGTGTTATTGTCAAAAATAAAACTCATTTTCAAAAAATAAAACTCATACAAGTTACTAAACCCATTTGTAAAAGCAAACTTAAATACTTGTGGGAGGGAAACCTTGTTGCAAAAATTATAGGGTTCTTGTTTCAGGACCTACAATGAAATGACTGTACACAAGTCTAAGCAAAGAATATATGCTAAATTTGGTATAATTTACATTCTTCCAACAATTCTCTGAGGTAGGTAACATTAGGTATTTTATAAAAAAAAGAAACTAGTCAAAGAAAGGCCAAATAACTTGCCAAAATTCATGCATCTGCTTATTGGCAAACTATGAATTTAAACCTAGATTTTCAGTGTCCATAACATAGTTTCACATATTTATATGAAAGCAACATTTCTCATTAAGTGTTTGAAAGAAAGAAAATAAAGGACCAATCTATATTATTACTCTGTACCTGGATATAATTGTAAATAATAATTTCTGCATCTTGTGATTATTTAAAAAATAAAATGACTACATACATTGGCAATTTTGGAAATCTAGTTTCAAAAAATTAGAGGCTTATTTTTTCCTCAACAAATTAATCATCATGCATCATTCATCTATTCAATGATTTACTCAAGCATTCAACCAATTGCACAACCAATGTGCAATTGAATATGCACATAATGCATATTCAATTGTGTTGTTGGAACAGGGAAACAAGGTTCTGATACTTTAAAACTTCATAATCCAAAAGGAATAATCTGAACTCTTTGGTCAATATTTTACTTTTGTATTGTACATAAACACAGCACACAGATTCTAAGTACTATTTTGATACCCATGATATTTTAGAGTACTATACAAAATCATAGCAATGCCTGATGATACTGTCAAGGCAGAAGGCATGATTACACTCTCTTGCGTATGACCTGTGTATTTGAGTGTTTTCTTCTATATAATTTTTTAAAAATCTATCTATAATAGTTGAAATTTTGGGTAATGATTTGCATGTTCAATTACATTAGTGTATCCAATATCTGAACCAAAACACAATGAACAACCACCCTTACTACAGAAAATGTACAAGTAAATACAAATTCTAAGGACCATTAGAATTTATAATTCTATAACTGAATTGTAGAGATAATTCATAAGCAGTTGTAAGACAATTTATTATAAATCTTCAATGGAACCCTATGAAGCTTTCTAATATTGGATATGCAAACTCAGTTAACTGAGTGTGTCCTCTAATGGATCATTTCCAAGGACATATGAAATACACTAAAACTTATATATATATAAACTTTTAACTCTTTAATTTGACTTCTTCTTTAGTCTTTGTTCACTTTTCTATTGCATTTCCCTAGAAAAATTCTCTAAGGAGTTTCCTTCAATGATCATTTGAAGTTAGGCTTTCATGGTGACAATGTATTGAAACTATTCCGTGTTAAAGTCACTTGTTTTCATCTTTGTGAATCTGTCAGCAGCAATGATATTACTGAGCATTCCCTTCCTCTGTCCTACAATATTCAGTCTTCTTTATACAAAAGTATTGAGTTCTGGCAGAGATCATGATGAGAAATGGAACCCAGCCCACTCACCCAAGCCCTCTGGGCCCCGTAGGCCCCAAGCAGAGGATGAGCTGGGGGCCCTTGGGACAAGCCCAGGTCTCTGCCTGGCAGACACCTGGACACTTACCCTAGTAGCAGTATTGGGACTGCCCGCTGGCTCACCCAGGACCAAGTACCCGCCTCTCCCCGCGCCTGGATGACCTTATGGTGGTGGCACCCAGCCTGGCTGAATCCCATCTGTCCCAACCAAAGCCACTGCAGAGGATGTGGAGCTTTTGGGTGGCAGTGGGCTTGGTGTGGTGAGAAGAATGGCATATCTGGTACATATTAGGAAGAGTTTTTACATGGACTCCGAGTGAAATGGGGGGCCGCTAGAATGCTGCAAGCAGAGAAATGACAATCTAATTTGGTCTAACTGGTCCACTGTGATAAGAATCAATGGAAAGTGAATTTAAAAAGAGACAAGGAGACCCATTTGCTGACTATTTAGAGAAACAATAAAATAGACGAGGCTGGAGGGTCACAAAAGGTGGGAGGAAACCCAGGGGAATGAGTGATATCCTGAAAGTCAGGGGGAAAAGTGTGCTAGAGGAGGTTTCCATGGAGTCCAATACTGCTAATAGGTAAGTAAGTAAGGTTGTATGGAAGAAATTGTTTCTAGATGTATGCAAGTGAAAATTGGAGGGAAAATTGGCAAAAACAATTTTGGAGGAAAGGCTGGAAGGAAAATACTGGAGTTCAAACATGAATGGAGGGCTTGGGATGTAGCACAATGGTAGAAGCCTTGCCTAGTATGCTCAAAGTCCTGGGCTCTATTCCTGGAAATACAGAGAACAAATAATATAGAAAAAAATAAACAAAGGGAAAAGGAATGTAGCTCAGTGAGTACAGATACTTCTATAGCCCCCTAGCTAAGTGGCACAGTTGGCCATGAACTAATGTGTGTATGTGTGTTTGTGTGTGTGGGTGTGTGTGTGTTTTAATTTAACTGCATATTTTCAATCCTTACATAATGATTTCAGAGTAGGTTTGTGATGCTTTAATTTTTTTCAATTACATATGTACCACCAAAACACACTAAATGAAGTTATTGTTAGTTCATAAAATTATAAACTAAAGTAAAATAACCCTTAAAATAACTGAGATACATATTATATAAACTGATTACCATTTGCTCATATAGACACAGAAGGAAAAAATATAGAACAAATATAGACAAAATATATTTCAAAGGCACTAATTCGTGCTTAAAGCAAATCTCCTATTTCTAAGATTTTACAGTATGCAAGTACAAAGTTATTATTTATATTAAAAAATTGAATTATATAACAGTAATAAAACATAGCAATGCCAAACAAAATCTAATGTATAAACTCAATCATTTTAAGTTGTATGTTAAGTCACTGTTGAAAAATATGGTGTGATGTATGCTCCCATACATTACCTTTAAAAAAGATAATGGCATAGATGCAATTGACCTTTACAAAGAAGATTTCACTTCATTAGCTAATATTGAATTTAGCACAAAAATCCACAGATTAGTGCCTGTGGGCCAATTCCATCATTTTTCATATTTTCTAAAGAAAGTTTTGTTTTCATTTTTGTGTTGCTGGGAATAGAACCCAGAGTCAAGGGCATGCTGAACAAATTCTACCCATAGGTATATTTCCATCCTCTTAAACAAATTTTTAGTGAAATGCACTCCATACCCATCCAGTATTGACTATAAGGTGTTTCAGACTACAATTGCAAAGACACTCTGGTCCACAAAGACTAAAATATTTACTGACTCTTTGCAGAAAAAGTTTGCCAACTCCTACTTCAGTATATTGAAAATTTGATGGAAGTTTTAATAGATTTTATTCAAATTAATGAAGTATTGATGAAACATTGACCCCCATGTGCAGTGCATTCACAATATTCAGATTAATCTGACGAGTCCTTATTTGAGCACTTGGGCATTGGGAACAGGTACCCTGGATCTACTGGTGAGTAGCACTACTATAACAAGGCAGAGTGCCAGTGCAGCAGGCAGCTTCCTTTTGTAACTCAAAATGAGTATAAAAACAAAATTGTGATTAAGAAGTTTCATTGAAATAACTGCCTTAAATTTACTTTACTTGTAAAATAAACAGTACACTAGAGAGCTAATTTCATTTTAAGTGCTTTTGTGGTTCATTATTTTATAGATATGACAATTTAATTCTTTCCTTATTGAAGACAATTTAAACTAACTCCTATTTGATATGACAATGCCACACTGAATGTCCTTAATATACACATTTAATATATACTATATTAAATGTTCTCAGCATATGCATTGCATGTCTTCAATGGGCATATTGCATATATCAGCTTTATTCATCTTTGTACATTTTGTATAATATAAAATACATGTCTTTAAAAAATGTGTTTATGTACACATTTGTAATCATGTTTTCCTGTTCCACAAAGATAAGTAATACAAGTGAAGCTGCAGATTTATGGAATAATATTTGAAATTTTGATATGTTACTAAATCACCCTTACAAAAGTACTGACAAATTTCATTTATCAACAGGACATGAAAATGTATTTATCCTCTTAATTGACAAACTTAGTATCCTTTTAAAATAAACGTGTTAATATATATGAGAAAAATGGCATCTCATGATTTATTTACTACTGGGAGTATTGCCTTTGCCTTCCCATCACTTTCTTCATTTTTTTTAAGGAAATACCTTTGGTGATCAGCATTTCTGTTCTTTTTTTGTTCAATGAATTCATCACCATTGTCATCAGTGTCCTCCTCACTAGGCTGCAGGATTTGTGACACTTCCATCTGACTAATTTTATATTTCTTCCTTGTTATTTCCACCTTTAATGAAAAAGTTCAATGCCAAGGATAATAGTTACTTTTCAGTAAGAAAAATTATTTTGTTCGCATCACTGATTTCATCAATCGACTTAGTTTGATTGTCATGACATTAGTTCATAATAGTCTTTTTGGTTTTTAATTTTATATAACATCATTGAATTTTTATATAGTAGGATATATTGGCAATTAACCCCATTATCTACGTGGAGGTAAAACTAATGTATTCATGGGAAATTGGAAGTCTCTTCCACTTTGATTTTTTCCCCCCAATATTTATTGGTTTACTATAGTTGTCTATAATGATGGGATTTGTTACCCAATCATACATGTGCCAAATATAGACCAGTATTGCTCCTTAGCACTTCTCCCCTCCCTCATTCAACTCCCTACTTTCCTCTAATCTAAGAATCTTTAATTTCTATGAGGTTTTCCCTTCACTTTTTTTTTCCTTTTTTCTCTCTAGCTTTCACATGAGAGCAAAAATATGTCCCTTGATCTTCTGAGCGTGACTTATTTCACTTAATACCATGGTAACTATTTTATCAATTTTCCTGCAAATGACATAATTTTATTTGCTTTATGGCTGAATAAAATGCCATTATGTAGGTGCACCACATTCTCTTCACCCGCTCATCCACTAATAGAAACCCAGGCTGGTTCCATAGATTATTATGAATTGTGTTGAGTTAAACATAGCATGCTCATATCACAGTAGTATGGTGATTTTAACTCTTTAGGAAAAATACTGACAAGTTGTAGAGGTGTGTCACATGGAGGCTCCAGGCCCAGTCTTTTGAAGAGCCTCCATAATAAATTTTGTAGTATGTGTGTGTGGCAGATAGCTATGCTGTTTCCACAGTGTGACAATTGTGATTTGTGCTCATCAGTACAGTATGATTTAATGGTATAGCTTTTGTTATGTGGTGATTCTATTCCTATTCTTTTGAGAAGCTTACCTACTGATTTTATAAAGATGTGGTAATTTACAATCCCCCCCAAAAAAATAAAGTGTTCCTTTTTCTTCACATCCTATCCAGCATTTATTATTATTTGTATTATTGACAGCTGCCATTCTGAGAAGTGTCTGTTTAATTCATTGGCCATTTATTAATTGGGCTCTTCTATTTTGTGGTATCTAGGTATTAATCCTCTGTCAGAAGAGTAGCTAGCAAAGATTTTCTCCCATTCTGTAGGTTTTCTTTCACATTCCTCATTGTTTTCTTTGCTGTGCAGAATCTTTTTGAGGCCATCCCTTTGAATAATTCTTGGCATCATTTTATGAGCTTTAGGGGTCCTAGTGAGAAAGTGGTTGCCTGTGCTTAAATGTTGGAGTGTTGACCTGATGTTTTCTTTCAGAAATTACGTAGGTTTTGTTCTAATTTCTAGGTCTTTGATCCACTATTGAGTTGATCTGGGGGAGAGGCTAGGACACTTGGAAAAACAGTTTTCCCAGCACCTTTTGATAAAAAGGCTATGTTTCCTCTATTATGTTTTGGCACCTGTGTCAAGGATCAGATGCCTGCATGGGTGTGGGTTTCTCTCTGTCTTCTCCTCTGTACCATTCATGTATGTGTCTTTGTTATGCCATTACCATCATTTTTTGTTAACTAGAGCTCTGTAATATAATTTGAAGTCAGGTATTATGATGCCTCCAGCATTGCTTTTTTAACTTGGAATTGCTTTGGCCATTTTGAGCCCTCTTTTCTTCCAAATGAATTTTAGAACTATTTTTTTCTAGTTCTGTGAAAAACATGATTGGTGTTTTGATGGGGATTGCATTGAATTTTATTGAATTTTTGACACTCTGGCTACCTTAAGAATCAATTTTTTTCTTCAATATTCTATAGTTTTCATTCATCTTAGGATACTAAAAGACTATTCTGAAAGACAATTTCATTTGGATTAATCTAAATTGTTGAAGCAAAGAAAGTAGCATGAAAAAATGGGTTTGAAATTTACATGATTTCATACCTGTGGCTGGTTATTTTCAGGGTCATCAAACACGTTTTTCTTTTCTTCTGTTTTCACTTTTAAAGATCGTTCTGCCAACAAATGTATATGTCTATTTACACTACTTAAACAGTTATAAGAACAATCAGAGTAAAATGAAAATACTTTTTACTAATAATAACATTTATTTTATCAATTAGAAATTGAATTTAAACGTTACCTGCAAAGTTATTATTTATAATATGTTACTTTGCACTAAAACCAATGCCTTGTGCATGTTTATTTTTGACAGGTGAATTTATTTTGGTATTATTATATAATCATATGGGCTATATAATATTCTAATTGTGATGCCATTTTTGTGGACGTACACAATGGAGATTCACCGTGGTGTTTTCACAAATATATACAGGAAAACTTTGTCACATTCATTCCACTACATTCTTAGCATACTCTCAACTGCTGAAATTCATCTGCTTTAGTACGTTTGATTTTCTTCTGAGATGGGGTCTCATTGAGGTGCCCAGAATAACTTGAAACAAGCCATCCACCTGGCCCTGAGCACTTGGGCCTATAAAGATGTCCTCTGCTGAGTCAGTGAGACTTGACTTTTTTAGAAGATATTTCTACTGACCCCAAACTTCAACTAACCACTTGGAGACAACTGATGTTAGCTTCAGTGCAAACAAATACCCCAATAATTCATCTACAAATTTACCCAGTGAACATAAAATGACAAATCCTCAGAAACAAACTTTTCATTGCCATAGAAACATAAAAATCCACACTCTACATTATTCTCTACTTCCTAATAGTAAGTTTTAACAAAGTCCTATGCATTTTTAATGATTTCCAAAGTGCCTCGTACTTTTTACTCCTTTACAATGAACACTCTTCCCCTTTTGTTTGTCCACACTGCTGACAAACTTCTTTTCTACTCTACAGATGTGGTATTCTATGAATTGTTCCTTGTTGTGGGCTGTTGTTCTCTCAATAAAAAGGAGCTTCTTTCCTAAGGGCAAACTTCAGCATTTTTCTATACCTTTATGGCTTAAACTGTAAATTAATTTCTCTACATGTAAATTTCATTCACTTGTGAACAGGAGAAAATCTTTTCAGTCACGTTTGTGTACCCAGTCTTTGTTTCTTCAACCTCATAATTATACTTTGAGTCCCTGGTAAGTGCTAATGTATATAAATAGTGTGGGGGATGATTTTGCTTGAAGTAGTCCTAAGCTGAGAGTTAAAATATGAGCACTATCCAGAGAGAAATAAAGGATGAGAGCATGAAAGCAATTAGAAGAGTAGGGTGTGTGTTTGTTTAAAATATTGGGATGGTGAGGAGGAATGGCAGAGGACAGGGAAAAATGAAGAAAAGGATAAAAATAGTTGAAAAGAACTCATTCTATCAACATTTTCTAGGGAAGTTTAAGGTGCTAAGACATAAATATTCTCAAGAGTGGTTCACAGGTAAACATGCATCAGAACAAAATAACTCTAATGTTGTGGGCATAAATGGAGGGAGATGAATAAGTATAAGACATTAGAGCAAAATAAAGATGACAGGGGCCTAAATGGAGAGAACATTCTCAGGATTACATAGGATCCTACATATTTGGTCCCCAGGGAAGATTATGTTTCACTAAATTAATAAAAGTACAAATCAAAGTCTGTGGAAAATGAGACTCTGATCATGACTATTAATAGAGCTGAGAATAAAATGCCCTTTGATGTGGCCCAGGGTCTCCTTATTGTGGTGACATTTTGTTGTGTGCATACCACACAAGCCCAGGGAGCAGGCTACATTTGTGTTGGGATCCCCTGGCCCTGAGTGGCCAGGCCTAGAAGCCTTTTTGTGGTGGTGACTCATGGAGTCAGCTCATCACCAAAGAGGGAGGGACTCGTGGTTTAGTCGAGCAGTCTTGGGGTCCTGGTGAATGAGGGTTTGTGAACACAGGAAGCCAGTACAGTGCTCCCCAGTTGTGTATATATATCACATTTCTGTTCACATTCATCTCTTGAAGCTTACCTTGGTTTATTCCCCATAGCTTGGCTATTATAAATCATGCTGATTTTAGATCTTTTGGATATATTCCAAGGAGTAGGAAAGTTGGATCATATGCCATTCATAGTGTTTTTGAGAAATCCTCATAGTTTTATGAGAGGCTGCACTAATTTGCAATTCCAACAACAATATTTGAGTGTACCTTTCCACCCCATATCCTTTCCAAAGCTTATTATTATTTGTGTGCTTGATAATTTCCATTTTGACAGAAGTGAGATGAAATTCCAGTGTAATTTTGACTTGCGTCTCCCTGATTGCTAGAGATGTTGAGCATATTTTCATATATTGTTGGCCACTTATATGCTTTCATTTGAGAAATATCTGTTTAGGTCTTTTTCCCATTAATTGATTGGGTTATTCCTAAAAAAAATGTGCTAACTAAACATAACAGAGTATTAGTAAGCTATAAAAAAGACTAAAATTATGGCATTTGCTGGTAAGTGGGTGGAAGTGGAGACTATCATGATAAGTGAAATAAAATAGGTTTGAAAAATCAAAGGTCAAAAGTTTTCTCTGGGGGCTGGGGATGTGGCTCAAGCGGTAGCGTGCTCGCCTGGCATGCATGTGGCCCGGGTTCGATCCTCAGCACCACATACCAACAAAGATGTTGTGTCCGCCGAGAACTGAAAAATAAATATTAAAAATTCTCTCTCTCTCTCTCTCTCTCTCTCTCTCCTCTCTCATTCTCTCTAAAAGAAAAAAAAACGTTTTCTCTGACATGTGGAAAGTGAAAAAGAAAGGAAAAAGGTGTGAGTGAGGGAAGTAGGATTCCATTAAAGTAGAAAAACAATTCATGGATTTCATGAAGGAGGCTTGGGGTAGGGGAGAAGTGATGGAATAAGAGAAGAAAAGCAGAATGAATCTGATTTAAGATTCTCACATCCATATATGATATAATACAGTGAATCTCAACATTATGTATATTTGCAAGACATTAATGTAACAAAGGAACAAACATAGCCAGGTGTGGTAGTGCATGCCTGTCATCCCAGTGGCTCAGGAATAGGAGGTGGAAGGATGACACTTTTGAAACTAGCCTGAGCAACTTAGTGAGAGTATAAGCAACCTAGTGAGATCCTGTCTCAAAATAAAAAAAAATAAATAAATAATGTGGGGAATGTAGCAATCCCTAGTAGCACAAATAAATAAATAGACAAGATAAACACATACTATGCAATCTATATACGGGGTAAAAATGGGAGTTCATAACCCACTTGAATCAAATGTGTGAAATATGATACGCCAAGAACTATGTAATGTTTTGAACAACCAATAATAAAAATTTAAAAAAAAAAACACATACTCGAACAAAATAATAGAATAGAGGGGAAAAAAGAAGACCTAGTAACAGGTGAAGAAAGTCAAGGAGGGAAAGGTAAAATACTGGGATCCAAACTAGGGCAAAAATATTCCATAATTTCATAATTATGTCTAAATGAATCCTAAGTTTATGGGGCAAATATACTGAAGTCACATGAAATTCACCCTCTCAGTTTCTTAATTTCTGCCTCCTCCCCATCTGTCAAGAGACATACTCAGATTATAAACAAGATTGACGTTTCCCCATGATCTAGTTATAGCCTGAACTATGATCCAAGGGTCTTCAACGACATTTCTCTCAAGAGAGTTCCATTCCTTTGCTACCCAGTATGTGGTCTAGGGAGCAGGAACATTGAAATCACCTTAGATTGTATTAGAAAGGTAGAATCAAAGAACTGCTGAATCTGAATGTTCATTCTGGACATTGTCCCCAGCAGATGATTCATTAAATGTTGAGATTCTTGGACTATACTGATTTATTTCCAAGTTCTCTACCTCAAATTCCTATCTGGAGCTAGCCACAGGCTCCTCCTGTTCACATCCCTATTGTAAGCTGTATACAAATCACAGTTTTCAGTGGACATTTGAACAAATGACGACTTTGGCATTCACTTCAAAAGCAATCTGTTTTTTTTTCTCTTTCCCATTCTGTTACTCTCTGCTATTTTCTGTCCTAGGAAGTGTAACATTTTAGATGATGATGTTAAATTATATACATACATAGCAGTGTGTATAGGTTTATATGTAGTTATGGTAAACAAAACATTGCTCTGTATGATCAGAATCAATTCAATGGTTTTGCAACAGTAAGAAAGACAGCAAAAGAATTGAAAATCCCCCTACCTCCCAGACAAACTGATGCTATAAAACTTATTATTAACTTCTCACTGTTTTTTCTTCAATACAATTTCAATGGTACATTTCTTCAACTATTAGAATATACTGGTGGTCAGGTTGAAAATAAAAACCCCATCTCATGAATTATTTTCATATATAATTCTTACCTTCTACATATTCTTTAACTTTGTGTTTTTCTCGTTGATTTGCATCACCAGATAAGTTTTCAGATGAATGAATATGAAACATCTTCAGAAGACTCCCAAAACAACCCTGGTAAAGTAAATATCAATATGAGTGGCATAAAGATTTCTAATCACAATCTAATAAGATGTTGGAATTTATAATTTTGAGATCAATGAGTAAAAATTAGACAAATGCCTAATGAAAATCAAAATATTTCAATCCAGACTCTCATATACACTCTCCGGATTAAGTTGCACTTTTATCTTTATATGGAAACTGACACTGTAAAACCAGAAGGAAGCACAAAGAGACATATTCACTGACAACACACTAGGTGATGTGCATATTCCCACAGAAACTAACTTCAGTGTACCTGACCCAACATTTTATTTCCCACCAAAAGAGGATATTTAATAAAAACTGATTTAAAAAATAATTCTTACAAATACACATGCTGTTATTCATCATTGAATATTGAAATCATTGCAGTGACTGATATATTTTAGTGTATGAATAAGAAACTGGTTTTAATAAAAGAGTTTAAATTATGTCATAATAAAAAGAAATAGTACAGTATTGATGTTGCTTCTTTTAATCAGTAAGAATTTACAAAGTCTAATTATCTTTTGTTAAAACATTTCCTGATTTTTAAAAAAAATCTGTTGAAAAATGGCAAAGAACTAAGAAATAGGTTTACCTAACAGTACATAACCATCAGGTTGAGCATGGAATAATTTCCAGTTAAGGAAGAACAACAAAACATTCACCAAGGGGACCTGGGGTTGTGGCTCAGTGGTAGAGCCCTTGCCTGGCACATAAGTACTGGGTTTGATGGTCAGCACCATATAAAAATAAATAAATATGTTGTGTCCACTGAAAACTAAAAAATAAATATTAAAAATTTCTCTCTCTTTCTCTAAAAATAAATAAATAAATGCATTGTGACCATCTACAACTAAAAAAGTATTTTTTTAAAAAAGTTCCCCAAGGAAGAAATGAGGCACATAGACACAAAGCTTACTGACTGATACCTGAGTGGTGTGCAGCTATGTCAAGATATAGTGTGGCTATGAGATAACTGGAGTGAAATTGAAGGGACCCAATGAATAACAAAGGCATTCCTAAGACAAATGGACTGCAGCAGCGCCAGGCAAAACCTGGCTGAATTGGTGAGGAAAGCTGCACTCTGTTGAGCTCAATGGGAGAATCCCAGCAATCTCAGCAAAACCCAAGTCCAGTACAGTCAACCAATCAGTTTTGGCAAAGAAGAGACTTGGATTCTGCCTGATGTGTGCACTGGGATTCTTTCCTGCAGCTTCTCAGAGTGCCTGCCTGTGAGGCTTCATTTACTAGGGCTCCTATTCCCAGATTTTTTAATGAGAGTTCAGAAATTGCAAACTTTCTATTTTGACTCCAAGGCTCAACTCTGACATGAATTCACTGTGTCATCAGGCATCCACAAGTCATTCTGGTCTAGGAGAGAACCTCAGGTACAGATGTGCTAGGAGCTCTGAGCAGCTGAAGAAATATACCTATAATTTACCTAAGGAAAAAGACAGGGACTTTCATTTCAATGTGATCTTTGAAGCTATGTGACAGACCATTGCCTGGAAAGAATCGTTGTCCACACAGGTGAGCAAATATTCCAATTATGGTCACACCTAAATTTCAGAGGCACCTGGAGGAATCACCCTCACTTCCACCACCGTCATGGGTTCAGGGATGGCCCTGGGGTCTCTGATGAAGCCCAGAGAGGGAAAACCAGTTAGCAGTGCTCTTTAGCTGAGCCTGTCTGTGTCAGAGGTCAAGAACACTTGCATCTCCAACACAAAGTGGCCATCTTTCCAGTCATTTCCTGGTGGGCCACTCTGATAGTATGACCCTAGAAGAGAGAATGACTGGGATGTGCCAAATAGTAAGGGCACTAAAAGTTTTGGAAAGCTGGTAGGCCAGTCTATGGAGTGCAGGGCAGTGGGGCCAGTGCTCACTGCAAATTGGTGCTTTCAGTTTAGTGACAAGGAAAAAAAATTTGTGTGCTTTCAAGTGGAAGGAGATTCCTGGAGTGCTGAGACAGGGTCTGGTGAAAAGCTTCATTCCTGTTGTAGAAAACCATGCACAGATCTGCAATACAAGCTAACTTTGTCGTGCTCAGAAAGACAGGGAGGAAACCCTACAGGAGCTTGAGAATTGCATAATCCTGAGCACACTTGCTAAAAGGTCTTCAGAAGTGAGAATTGCAATATGGATCAGTCCCCAGGCTCCCTGTGTCGCAGGGTTTGTCAGGCAGCTCCAGTTTTTGCCAGACTCACATCCCTGGGTACAAAAGCAATTACAAGCATGAATATATCTCTGCAAATGAAAAATTTCCTTCAGCACCCCTTGAGGGTAGGAGGGGAGATCTGTCTTCATACTTCACCACCAGGATTGTTGTATTTGGACTTGAGCTCAGAAGAAACAAGCAGAACTACATTTCCTTACAAGAATCCCCTCTAGTTACTGGATTCTAAAATTATAATTCCTGGGCAGAGGCACATTTATGTGAATTGCAACAGCACATTGAAATCTAAAATATTTGTTCTCTTCTGTTAGTTGAGGAATGGAGATCACTTTGTATAAGTATTTCATTATTAGTTGATTTTTTTTCTAAGTTGCAATTGTTGCTGATAATTATCCTCTCCTTTCAAACAGATGTTGATGGGTAAACCTAGCACTTTGGTCATTCTCAGTGGGTCTTTGATACTGAGATGATATAACCCATGCCAAGATCAGGTTCCACAGAGAAATCTCCTCAGTTAAAACTCAACATATAACTTGGAAGAGAAATCAATCCAAATTCATGTACAAATCTTATCGTAGCAATTCAGCTCATGAGAGAAAACAGGGCAATAACATACTCCAGAATTTCAGAGTTGCCCCCAAACTACATGGTACGCTCTCATTCACTAAGAGGTCAAAGAAAACTGTTTAATAATTGTTACTAATTTCCTACATGGAAATGAGGTAGGAAGTTATTATAAGTTTCCTAACAGCAAAGTCCAATTCTGGAATGTAATATCCATGACGGAAGCTGTGTCTATAGGGAGCCTCTGCCCTACCTTGACACTGACACTGAAGACACAATGAAACCTTTGAGTCACTGGGAATAATAAGCATTTCACATGGTCGTGTTCAGTGGTTATGGCTGGTATATTTGTTCAAAATTTCATTGTTAGCAAGTTTTGTATTTAATGTTATTTCATTGATAATATAAAAAAGTTATACAAAAGAAAGCATAAGAAATCATTAGAAATAATCTGCCTCAATTCCAATGACAAAGTTTACCTTTCTGTTATGATTTCTTAAAGTATTTGTAAATTCATAACCAGTTAAATGCTTAAGTTCAGATGTGAGTGTCAGATTCTAAGGCTATTCTAAAAACTGATTTTATTTGGCTGACTCTTCATTATCAAAGCAAGGAAAAGTATAAAAAACAAGGAAATTAAAGTCACAGGTTTACATACCTTTGCCTTTTTCTTCTCTTTACCATCAAGAGTTTTTTGGCCTTCTTCTGGTGTCACATCTAAGTGTGGTTCTGCTAACAAATGTATAGTTTTTCGTAAACTACTAGACTGCTTCTTTTAAAGAGGGAATTTTATCAAAGTTACATAAATACCTCTAATAATAATTATATTTTCCCAAATACACATTTAAACTATCTTCATATTTATATTGTAATTAAATTGTTATTTGGGATAGGGTTGTCCTGAATTGAACTCAAGGCCTATGTACACCTGGCAAATAGTCTGGCACTGAATTTTATCCCTAAACCTTTTGTATTATTTTGAGATACCGCCTCTCTGAAGTGCCCAGGCTGGCTGGAAAATGCAATTGTCTCCCAAGTAACTGTGATTACAGAAGTTCTCAATATCTCCAGCAAATACTGACTTCTGAAGGAAGTACTTTTACTCATCCAAAATTCAAAGAACCTCTTGGGGAGACACTAGATGTCATCAGATCAATACACACAAGCATCTCAAAGATTCATCATTCAAGAAATGTTCTCAGAAACAAAATTTTTAAATACCATAGAAATATAAAGATCGATACAGTTTACTATGTTCTACCTCAGAATAGTAACTTTTATTTTTTATTTTATTTTTTTATTAGTTGTTCAAGACAATACAATGATCTTGACATATCATACATTTGATTCAAATAGGGTATGAGGGCAGCAGAATACAACTGACACTAGGATTGCTGTATGTATACACATGGATGTATAACCAATATGATCCTACAATCTGTACGCATGGAAAAAAGAGAATAGTAACTTTTAAACAAGCCCTATTCATCACCAGTTGTTTTCAAATTGACTGATATTTTTACCCCTTTATCAATTATTACCCTGTCCTTTATTTCTGAAATAATTTTGTCCTCTATTATGACAAATTTGCTTTCTTCTTTAGGATTCTTGTCTGCTTTAGAAAGTCTTCCTTGAGTGTGTCTACCATTCCTTTCTTAAAGTGGTGTTTCTTTTCTTCACATTTCCTTATCACTTTATCTGTTTTCTACTCTACATGTGTGACTTAAACTGAACATTATTTATTGCATGTAAATCACTTTTTATTGTAAACTGAAGGCAATCAATCAGTCACTTTTCTCTAAAAAGATTTTATTGTTGGATGCCATAATTATTCTGTGAGTTTCTAATAAGTGCTAATGTAGATAATGGTGTTGGAGATGACTTTTCTAGAAATAATAGTGACCTGAGAGTTCAAGTATGAGGATAGCAGCTAGAAGGAAATAAAGAATGAGCAGATGGAAGGCAGTTACAAGATAGGATAGCATCTCTAAATGGGGTCTGTATTTGTCTATCATATTGGGATTCATGAGGAGGAATGATATAAAGATAGTTGAACAGAACTCACCCTATTAAAGTTTTCTGTATAAGAGACTCTTCATCATGAGACTCTGCTCATGATGAAACCAATCAAAGTTCTCAACTGAGATGGGGAATGAATTCCAGCAACTGTTTATAAGGATTGTGTTCACCATATAGTTCTACTTTTACACATCATTCTATGTTAAGGGAAATCATGTAGGTATTTTATTTGGAACATTCTGATAGATGTATGAGACTCCTCAACCTGTAAGATAAGTGCAGTGGTAAATCTTACTGGTTAAGCAGATGCTTAGCATCTGGGAATGGGATTCAGTTGTCACTGTGTAAACAAAAGGCAAACAAGGAATAAAGATACAAAATAAGAGGAAAAAAATGAGTGGAACACATAGGCTACTTGGGATATATCAAACATAGTCACTACTCTGGGAAACAAATAATTGTTCTCTACAAAATACAATGCCAATATTCATTCCACTGTGAAACACAGTGGAATGAATCTGACATAGCTTTCCTATGTACATATATAAATACACCGTAGTGAATTTCAATGCCTCATACACCCACAAGACTGGGTTTCCAATAAGAATATGGTATCCAATTCCAATATAAATATATTCAGATATATTCTACTGCCATGTGTAATGGAAAAGATTAAATAAAATGAAAATAATAACAACAATGTAATATATATATATATAAATATATATAAAACGGGTATCAAATAACCTTTGACTCAACATAGAACACTCTCAATGTTATTACTCAATAGGCTGAATGTCATATTGGAAATAAAATTATTTTAAGAGATGAGATTTCAATATATATATTACCAGGGATATATCCCAGGGGTGCTCCACCACTGAGACATATGCCCAGTCTTTTGTTGTTGTTGTTGTTTTCTATTTAGATGAAACCGGATGCTTTTATGGTGTTGTGGGATAGACTTGTATTCTCTTTAAAGACAGGGTCTTGCTGAGTTGCTTAGGGTCTTGCTACATTGCTGAATGGCTTTGAAATCTTAATCCTGCCTTACCCTCCCAGGCCACTGAAATCATAGATGCTAGCTACAATACAGATTTTTAAACAGTGGTTGAATAAAGGCCTAATAATCCACATAATAAGGCCTAAAAATGTTGTAACTCCAACAGTGGCATTTAAATTATAGCAATACCTAAGATAAATGTTATAATTTAAAGTCTTTTTCTTATGCTTGTAAATATCTGTGTGTGTGTGTGTGTGTGTGTGTGTGTGTGTGAGAGAGAGAGAGAGAGAGAGAGAGAGAGAGAGAGAGAGAGAGAGAGAGAAAGAGACAGAGAGAAAGAGAGAGAACTTTTTTAATATTTATCTTTTAGTTTTTGGCGGGCACAACATCTTTGTTGGTATGTGGTACTGAGGATCAAACCGAGGCCACACGCATGCCAGGCAAGAGCGCTACCGCTTGAGCCACATCCCCAGTCCTAAATATCTGTTTTTAATCATTGGTACCAACATTGACACTGGTCTTTCTTGTGCCAAATATTCCCCTCAAATTTTGAAGAGTCAGAGAAGAATTAGTAAAGGGAAAATTGCCACAGTATCATATATTTTATTATCCCTCTTTCTAGAGAATTCCTACTGTAATATTTACCTGATTTGAGTGTCCTTACATTCTTCTTCCTCACTACTTTAATTAGAAGAGAATGTCTTATTTTAGTGGTTGTCTATATGGATTTCAGAAAAAATAGTATATACACACACATATATTTCATTCAATATGCTATTAATAATTCAGGATACAAATAGAAATGTAATTACCTTGCAGTCAAAAATTTTCTCTTGAGATAGTAAAAAACAAAAGGGACATATATAACTAAAGGTTCATAGGGCAAATCCATGCATATATTCCTGGTTAATTAGTATGAAGCTGAAACAGTGTGCTTAGCTTTGATAATGATTAGTTTTGTGTGTGCGTGTGTTTGCTTAGTTGTGGTTAACATAGTCATATGACTAAAATATATTAAAGAACACCAGGAATTAGGGTTTCATACAGCCTGCAGTAATATTTTAAAAGTGAGATTATGTATCCAGTGATAAAAATAAAATAGGAATATGTACATAGACCACAGTAAACATGCAGATTGATGGAAAGATATGTGACCTCTATTAAGAAGACAAAAGCAGGACTCTGGGAGTATAAATGTCAAAGCTGATATGAGAATATAACAGCATGTATTTTTAATGTGACATTATAAGAATTATTTAATACATAATGTTATATTTCTGTGTCCTGTTCCTCTATTTGTTCTTCAAGTTAACAAGTATCAAGTTGTAATAATGGCCTAGGGATTTGTACAGTTCATTTCTCATGCAAGAATGTTCTCTGCACTGATCAGCTTGGACATGTACTTTTAGAATGACAGCTTATATGAATATTCTTGTTTTTTCACACTTATTTGGGACACTGGTGCACTGACAATTCTTGCATCCTCTGGTTTAGACACTATATCTTTTCTTGATCCATTCATGTGAGAAAACATAGAAACCACATCTGTGAAATAATAATAAGCTTCAAATACTAAAATGTGGCAACCTCAAAGAAAAACAGAGGAGACGGATACAAGAGGGTGGATTAGCCTGAAGCAGCATTTCTTGTAGCTCAGCTCTCTGGGACTCTAGCAACCAGATTGCTCCTTCTCCCTGAGGTGGGTGAAAAGGAATTCCACTAATATTCAATATTGGACAGACAGACTTAGAAAAATAAAAAGTTTGGCTAAATTAAACAAGGAAAGAGGACATAATTGGAGATAAGCTGCTTGCATGAGGAGTTGAATTTGACACAAGGATGGAAAAGGTGGAGGAAATACTACTAGCTGCCTTGCCTGAAAACTACTGAGACTGGAAGAGCAGCCTGTCCTAGGAGAACCAGAGTCCATTCAACTCATTGAAAGGGTCCACATAAGACACCCCAAAGTTACCAGTGGTCCATAGGGATTTGAGCCAGGTGCCATCTTGGTACTACCAGAAAGTGGTGCTAATAACGACTGGGAACTCTAATCCAGGAGTTCGGGGCTGGTTTCCTCTGGTGTTATTTGAACCTAGCAAAAGCTTAACTGAGCCTTGTCAACCTGGGACAATCAGAAAACGAAAGCATTTTTCCAGGAGAAATACCAGTTGGAGGTGCTGGGGAGAATCCATTTCCTTCCAATCTCTTCCGTCATGAGGTTTGAAGGTGCCCACAAGGTCAACTACAGTAGGTTAAGTATTTGAAGGTGTGGGTACACAGGTGCTTGGTGCTCGGCCTACCACTCAGTGCTGGATGCTTGCCAACTGACCTTCTGGAGGCCATGAGCAACAGAAGCACCAAATGAAAAGATTCCCCTGTCCCATATTTAGAACCCTGGGGAGATTTGTGGGGTACAGTGTCCCTGACAGAAATATCAGTGTCTACTGAGTTGTAGAAGTGGATGGATTGATTCAGCTCCACTAGACAACCTGTCATGCAATAAAAGCACCTGGAGTCTTACTATACCTAAGTCCCATCCCTGAGAACACCATTTATGGGAACTCCTCTCACAGAACCTAGCAGCAAACACCTCCAAATAGTGAAGACCACAACTCTTCCCATTCCATGCCACACCAACAATAAGAAGGAAGGATTTGACAGCCTGCAGCCATTATGCACATGCTCAGTTTATGCCTCACAAAGAAATGAAAGAAACTCAATTGTGCACAAACAGTGAACATATATTCTTATTAATTATATTATCTACTGTAATGGAAATGACTCCCTTACTTTTTACCAAGATTTTCACAGAAGAAGAAATACAATCAATCAACAAATATATGAAAAAAGCATTCAACATCTTTGGTAATTAGAGAAATGCAAATCAAAACTACCCTAAGATTTCATCTCACTCCAGTCAGAATGGCAATCATCAAAAATACAAACAACAATAAATGTTGATGTACATGTGAGGAAAAGGGTATACTCATACACTGCTGGTGGGATTGCAAATTGGTACAACCTCTATGGAAAGCAGTACAGAGATTCCTCAGAAAATAGGGAATGAAACCATCTTTGATCCAGCTATCCCACTCCTCAGTTTAATCTCCAAGGACTTAAAATCAGCATATTATGGGAACAAAGCCATGCCAATGTTTATAACAGCTCAATTATCAATAGACAAACTACGGAACAAACCTAAGTGCTGTGCAATAGATGAATGGATAAAGAAAATGTGGTATGTATCTTCAATGGAATATCACTAAGCTTTAAAGAAGAATAAAATTATGGCATTTGCCAGTAAATGGTGGAGTTGGAGAATATCATGCTAAGCAAAATAAACTAAATCCCCCCAAAACAAAAAGTCGAATGCTTTCTCTAATATGTGTCTGTTAATTCACAATAAGCGGGGGGTGTGGCACTAGAGAGGAATAGATTTACCTTAGATAGAGGGAAGTAAAGGTAAGGGAGGGGATGTGAGGATAGAAAGAATAGTAGAACAAAACAGACATTATTACATGGCAAATGTAATTCTACAACTTGTACACTCAGAAAAATGAGAAATTATATCCAATCTTTGTATGATATGGCAAAGTGTATAAATGCATTCTACTGTTATTATAACTAATTAAAACAAATAAAAGATTCACTTTTTTCTTTCATTGCTATTTATTTTTTTGAGTGTGTTTTATATTTTATATATATATATGTCTGTCTTCTCATTTCTAGGCTTTTTTAATGAAAGTATTTTTTTTGCTCTGCATTTTGAAGGCTAGGATTTTCAATTAGTGAATTTGGATTTTGTTTTGTATTGTCTATTTCACTACTCTATTTCATATCCTTTCTCTTTTCATTGATAACAGCCAAATTCTACTATACTCTTTCATTCTTCCTTGAAATTTTTACTTCTCTATGTACTATTCCATCTTCATAATTAACATATCCTACATCACCACATAAAATTGCAAACACATTTCTATTTTTTATCTCTACTTCTTTCCTCTTCATCACATTATTCTTAAGAGATTTTCACACTAAAACATGTAAGGAGTCCAGTGGTACATTTTGGATTTGACACATATTTGAGATAATGGATGCCTTTAAAAGTATTTTTCTTATGCTCATAAAGGCAATTTTGTACAAAGATGAATGCCCATGTTGATACTGGTGTATTTTGTACTCAACCTAAACTTCAAATTTGGGATACAAAATAGAACCTTTTCAGAGGTTTTCATATATGACCACCATATGAAGTGTTTTCATAGATGCCTTTTCGAGGAATTTTTAAAATGAATTCAAGTAAAAATCTGTGTCCCTGGAACATGACATTACTTCACAACTAGCTACCTTTGTTCTTGCCTTCCTCCTTTCCTCCACCCTTCTGGTTTTCAAAGAGAACCTCTACCATGGTGGTCTCATCTGCCCATGACCAACACTATGATTTCTAATTCCCCAAAGGTGCTAAAAAAACCCCAGCATTTCATAGGTTGTTCAATTCTGTATGTGGCTGTTTACAGATGGTGAACCAAGGTACCTCTGCATGACCTGGGACTTCATTCCTGAAAGCCTTTCTCACTGGGAGGAAGACAAGAAGAGTGGAACAACTTGGCACTACATCTCACACCAAGTTTGGCCCCTGAAGCTCACAAGGCTTTCTGGCATCTCTAATATGCTACTCTCTCATTCTCTCTCTCTCTTTCTAACCCATCACCTGAGTTTTCCCCCTTCACACTGCACACCATCTTCTTTGTCTCCATTTACTCCCTGAACTCTGCCTTGCCCATTCTTCAATCCACCTTCTACTTTCCTCTTCAGTATTTCCCAACATTAGTCTACTCAGGTTTTGAAATCAAATTAATTCTTGGAATCATCTGATGACACTCTGAATTTTACTGGTCACTCAAAAGGTACGAGATATACCACTTGTTACCTTCCACATTGCGTAAGCACTACTTAGAAGATTCATGTCTTCAACTATTCAAATATTCTGCTGCTTAGGATTTAAATAAATATTGTTTCCACTCAAAAGTTTTTAAACTGTTTGGCTCTTACCTTCCACAATATATGTTTCTTTTTCAAATGCATCCTCAGAGAAATCATCAAAGCAGTCTTCTGAACAAATCTCAGAGACGCTCTGGTAAAATTAAAATCAAAGTTGATTTTACTTCAAATTAATATCAGTAACCAATTCTGAATCACGATTTAAAAGCACACATCTCATTTCCACTTTTCACATCAGTAAGAATAAAAATCTAGACAAGTCTTGTCTTCCAAAATTGAACATTTAAAGAGAACATCATATATCCTCTCCCATAAAGCCTAACTTTCATCTTCACATGACTACTGACTATAAAACTCAAATGAGAGGACAGAACACATTCTCCCAAAACATACTATCTGATGTGCATAACTGCACAAACATACAACACCTGTAAGACCTAACCCTACTCAACATTTTCTAGCATAAAGGAGCGAATAATACTTAAAATATAATAGAATACATTCTTACATATTAACCCAATATCAGCCAGCATTAAACATTAAAAACATTTCTATGACAGGTTATTTTGTATTAGAATCACATTGGTCTGTAAGACAATTTGAATTATGTTTTGTTGAACAGAAATAGAGCAATGTTACCTTGGCCTCACTTAGCTAAACAAACACTTTTGAGATCAAAATCTCTTTTGGAGAAATCGTTATTGAGAGTAATACTCATTTGACATGATGCCAAATTAGTAATAAAAAGATTTCTTCATTTTGCATTTACCTAACTTGTGCATAACAATGAAGTAGAGTAAGCAGCACTTTCCAATTAGGAAACCAATGCAGAAAAATGGCAGTGTGAAGGTACACTGGGCTTCTCAGTGGCTCCCTGAATTTGACACAAATGAACTAGGTCTGATGGCATGATGAGGTGACTGCAGGAATACACTGCAGGGCAACTACAGAGAGCCAGACATCAGGGAAACCCAGAAATACTGTTTATTTGAAATATAAAAGCATTGACAAAGAAGTAGACTGCAGCAATGTCAGGACAAAACTGGCTAGGCTGAATAGGGAAAGCTGCCCTCCAGGGATCCCAGTGAGGGAAGCTCAGCCATTCTGACAAAAGCTCATGGGAGGGTTTTTACTTTGGTAAAGTGTTTGCCTCATCTGCATAAGGCCCTGGGTTCAATCGGCAGCTCTACCAAAAAAAAAAAAATGCTCATGGGATTCAAATCAAATGACCTCACAGAGACAATCCCACATAATTACAATTACCTTATTGTACAGAAAGGCACCAATGCTTTTAATTGCTGTTTCAATTTCATTACTTGATATTGTCCTGCTTAGGATTTCTTTATCTTGCTGGTTCAATATGGGCAGGTCATATGTGTTTAGAAACTTGTGCATATTTTCCAGATTTTCTATGAGATTGGAGTATAAATTTTCAAAATTGTCTCTGATAATCCTTTGGATTAATTTAGACTGTGTGTTGTGATGTCTCCCTTTACCTCTGATTTTGTCAATTTTCTTCTTTTTATTCTTTCTTTTGGTTAGTTTAATTAAGGGTTTGTTGATTTTACTTATCTTTTCAAAGAACACACTCTTGTTACATTTACCGTATGTATTGTTATCTTATTTTCAATTTCATTGATTTCCACTCAGATATTATTTCTTAACTTCTACTGGTTTTGGTATTAGTTTGTTTTTTCTTTACTAATGTCTTGAGGTGGAGCATAATCTTATTCATTTGGGAATCTTTCTTTTGTTTTTTAATAGTATGTATATATACATACTATTAATATATATTTTTTTCAATAAACCTTATTTATATGCAGTACTGAGACTCAAACCCAGTGTTCCACACATGCTAGGTAAGCACTCTACCACTGAGCTACAATCCCAGGCCCTCCAATTTTTTGAAATAGGCTCCAATGCTATAAATTTGCCTCTTAGAACTGCTACCATACTTTTCCAAAGATTTTGATATGTTGTGTCTTTGCCTTTGTGTGTTTCTTTTTATTTATTTTTATTGATTTTTAAAAAAATAAATGACAGTGAAATACATTATAGTTCTTATTACACATATACAGCATGAATTTTCATATCTCTGAGTGTATATAAATTGTGTTGACACCAATTTGCGTCTTCATACATGTACTTTGGATAATGATGTCCAGCACATTTCACCATCCTTGCTAATCTCCTGTCCTTTTTCCTCCCACCCCTCTACCATATCTAGAATTCAGCTATTCCTCCCTACCCAAATATGAGTCAGCCTCCTTATATCAGAGAAAACATTCAGCATTTCTTTTTTGGGGATTGGCTAATTGCACTTAGCCTTATCTTCTCTAATGCCATCCACTTATTTGCAAATGCCATGATTTTATTCTCTTTTATTGCTGAGTAAAATTATATTGTGTGTATGTATATATATATATATATGTCACACTTGTTTTTAAACATTCATCCACTGAAGGGCATCTAGGTTGACTTCACAGTTTAGCTATTGTGAATTGTGCTGCTATAATCATTGATGTGGCTATGTTCCTATAGTATTTTAAGTCTTTTGGTTATAGACCAAGGAGAGGGATAGCTAGGTCAAATGGTGGTTCCATTCCCAGATTTCCAAGGAATCTCTATACTGCTTTCCATAATGGCTGCACCAATTTGCAGTCCCACAGCCTAACACTTATTGTTGTCTTCATAATAGCTGCCATTCTGACTGGAGTGAGATGATATTGTTTTGATTTGCTTTTCTCTAATTACTAGAGATAATGAACATTTTTTCATATATTTGTTGATTGATTGTATACCCTCTTCTGAGAAGTGTCTGTTCAGGTCCCTGGCCTATTTATTGATTGGGTTATTTTTTTTTTTTTTGTGTGTGTGTGTGTGTGTGTGCTTAGCTTTTTGAGTTCTTTATATACCCTAGAGATTAGTGCTCTATCTAAGGGGTAAAAATTTGCTCCCAGGATGTAGGCTCTCTGTTCACCTCACAGAGGATTGTTTCTTTTGCTGAGAAGAAACTTTTTAGTTTGAACCCATCCAATTTATTGATTCTTGATTTTAATTATTGTGCTATAGGAGTTGTACTAAAGAAGTTGGAGCTTAAACCCACAACCACCTCAATGTTTATAACAGCACATTTCACAATTGCTAAACTGTGGAAGTAACTTAGACGTCCTTCCATAGATGAATGAATGAAGAAATTGTGTTACATATACACAATGGAATATTACTCACAATTAAAAGAGAATAAAATTATGTTATTTGCAGGTAAAAGGATGGAGTTGGAGAGTATCATGCTAAGGGAAAAAAAGTCAATCTCAAAAATCAAGGGACCAAATGTTTTTTCTTATAAATGGATGCTAATCTATATGGGGGAAGCATAGAATGAGTGGAGGAAACTTTAGTTGGGAAAAGGGAAGGAGAGAGGGGACAAAGGCATAGGAAACACAATGGAATGATGTGGACACCATTATATGTACAATTGCACAAATGGTGTGACCCTACTTCATGCACAACCAGAAGAGTGAAAAATTCTGCTCCTTGTGTGCATAATGAATTGAAGAGCTTTATACTGCCTTGTATAACTGATTAGCACTAATAAAAAAATCCTGAAAAAAAAGAAAGAAAAATATCAAAATATATTAGAAAATGAACAACGTCTAGCAACAGCAATTAATGCTCAATTAGGAATAAGTTAACTTATTCTTCAAACAAAGCAATTTAGAGTCATCCAAAAGGAAACAAAAAATTATCAAAGCCTATTTATGCTGAATATACCATTTTAAAGGAAAAGCGTAAGGAACAAAAGTTAAAATTATAATAGAGAGGTTAAGAAATTCACTATTGAATAAAAAATGCCAAAAATCATACTTTAAAAAAACTGTTGGTGATACATAATCATGTTGTGTTAGTCAGCTTTTTCACAACTGTGAATAAAGGACCTGGCCAGCACAATTGTAGAAGAGAAAACATTTATTTAAGGGCTCATGGTGTCAGAGGACCTAGTCCATAGGAGCCTGCTCCATTTCTAGGGGCTCAAGGCGAGGTGGAACATCATGGCAGGAGAGTATGGCAGAGGGAAGCAGAGAGAGAGAGGTCTCCACTTGCCAGATACAAAAAATATGCACCTCAAAGCCTTGCTTCCAGTTCCCACCTCCTCCAGCACACTTCAGTTACCACTCAGTTAATCAGTTAATCTCTGTCAGATGATTAATTCACTGATTGGGTTAAGACTCTCACAACCCAATTATTTCTCCTCTGAACCTTCTTATACTGTCTCACAGGTAAGCTTTTGTGGGATACCTCATATTCAAACCATAACACTTCTGAACAACAAAATCAACTATTTCTACCTAAAACATGGGTTGTGTTCATATTTTTCACTCTACTCCAATGTACATAAATTAATATACTCCTTCCCATTAATTTAATATTTGGCCTGAGTGTTTTAAAGAATAAACTACTATACCTCCCTCTCATGTCAACCACATGTATATTTGCTTTCACCTTAATTGAAAATTCTGCCATATGGAGTTTCTCTTCCTTTACAGTAAGTAAAAGTGGTGTGTAGCCATCCTGAAAAACAAAAAGAACAATTTATTAACAATTTTGCTTATTTCTCAATTGAACTGAAAATCTTATAACAGACCTCAAGAACGTAAACCTATACTATATAAAATAAATGAAGAGTAGCCTCTTCCTTCTACCACCCTGCACTTCCACATGAACTTCTCTTTCACCTTACAATGCATTATGTGATTGCCACCAACTCCCATCAATACAAAACATTTATTTAGAGCAAGGACTATGTCCTTATTCTCATGACCCCACTCCCAAAACAAAATAGTAAAAGGACTTAAGTAACCTACTGAATTAATGAGCTAAACTTTCATCTCTAGAGCTGGGCTTATCAACCCATATTCCAAATAATTTCCAGTTTTACTGAAATACCAAGCTTCATCAACAAATTTCCTTGATTCACTATCAGAGAAATACCACAGAATTGTGCATTATGCATCCATTATTAAGGAAATCTCTGTACCTTTGCTAACACCAATTTGACATTCACTTACAGAGTTACAGGGATACAGTTCTGAGAGTTATCCAATAACATGAGATGTTCCTGCAGGCTATGCAAATGCTGTTAATTCTCTTTTATATAGTTCAAGATCCTAGAAACAATATAGGCATTCCTGCTCCACTAGAAAAATGCATTTTTGTGTCGAAAAAGAGAGGCTTCAAAAAACTAGGCTCAAATCTCCATGTTGGACTAGGCCTCAACTTTCTTAATAAGACTCCTATAGGGGCTGGTGGCTCAGCAGTGGAGTACTTGCCTAGCACATATGAGGTTCTGGGTTCAATCCTCAGCATCACATAAAAATAAGTAAATAAAATAAACATATTTTGTCCAGTTACAACTAAAAATAAATATTTTAAAAAATTAAATAAAAAAGACTCCTATAGCACAAGAATTAAAACCAAGAATCAATAAATGGGATGGATTCAAACTAAAAATTTCTTCTCAGCAAAAGAAACAATCTATGAGGTGAACAGAGAGCCTACAGAATGGGAACAAATTTTTTACCACAAGCACATCTGATAAAGCACTCAAAAATCTCAACACCAAAAACCCAAAAAACCCAATCAATAAATGGGCCAAGAAACTGAACAGACACTTTTCAGAAGTGTGTATACAATCAATCAACAAATATATGAAAAAAATGTGCATCATCTCTAGCAATTAGAGAAATGCAAATTAAAACTATCTATCATCTCACTCCAGTTAGAATGGTAGCTATTATGAAGACAAAAAACAATAAGTGTTGGTGAGGATGTAGGGAAAAAGGCACACCCATACATTGCACAAGGGACTGCAAAGTGTGCAGCAGTATGGAGATTCCTTGGAAAACTTGGAATGGAACTACCTGTTTAACCAGCTATCTCACTTCTTGGTCTATACCCAAAGGACTTAAAAACAGCATACTACAGGGACACAGCCACATCAATGCTTATAGCAGCACAATTCACAATAGCTAAATTATAGAAACAATCCAGATGTCCTTCAGTAGATGAATGGATAGGTAAACTTTGGTATGTATACACAATGGAATATTACTCAGCATTAGAAGATAATAAAACTGGCATTTGCAAATAAATGGATGGAGTTGGAGAATATAATGCTAAGTGAAATAAGCCAATCCCCAAAAACCAAGGGCTGAATGTTTTCTTTGATATGATATGAGGATGCTAACTCATAATGGTGATGGTGGGGGGAGCATGGGAGTCATGAAAGAACTTTAGATAGGGTAAAGAGGAGGGAGGAAAATGGAGGGACATGGGTGTAGAATAGAGAGTAGAATGAGTTAAATATCATTACCCTAAGTACATCTATAAAGACACAAAAGGTATGAAAATACTTTGCACAACCAGAGACTTTGAAAAAATGTTCTCTATGTGTGAAATATGAAACGAATTGTAATCTGCTGTCATACAACAAATTAGAATACATAAATAATTCAATAAAAAGAGAGAGGCTTCAAAGGAGCATTGATTCATTTGGTACCTGTTCTCCTATTAAAAGATGAAAGATATTAATCTTAAATGTTAAAAAGTTAGTACAAAATCATCCTGGGACAATAATGCACATCAACTTTACCAAATTCTTTTTTAATTCTGGTTCCATTTAAATTGCTACTTAAAGCTATTTATAATTTTAGACAAAATAGAATTCAGAAATTTTGTGTATCAACAAAAGTTTTATACTGATCTACATGAATTATTTTTAGCATCATAAAAGACTAAAGCACCCACATCTTTAAGAGACAAAGCTGAGTACAAAGATATAATACTGCTTGAACTATGTGTATGCTCTCTACATCTTACTATGAGTAACCTAATGAGGCTTATAGAAATTCTAATGGGAATATAACTTATGTCATACATATAAGTAAAAGGTTTGAAAAACATCAATTTATAAATTCTAAAATTCAATTTCATTTCAAAGAGATTAATCTATTCCATAAGCCATATTCTTATAAAGGAATAGAAACTATCATGAATACCATGAAATTTTAAAAAATATATAGTATAAAACAGGAGTTATAAATTTTTTATAGGGCAAAATATGGGATTCTGAGTGAATGAATGCTGTAGTTTGCCAGCACAAACTGGAAAACACCCATGCCTGCATGAAGGGGCACCTGAGCACAGTGCACCACACAATAACATGGGCTCAAAGAGAACCCATGTGGTTCTTCAAGACAAGCTTGAACTCCATATTTCCACACCAGTATCCTAAATTTTAAATGTGGAGTCGACTTATATACACTTATATTAACTAAATATATCCATAAGATAAAAAAGTTGCAACATTTGCTACTCTTCTAATCAAGAAAACTCTGCTTATGAACAACATTTATAGGATTTACCAATTAGTTACATTTAAATGATATGAATCAATTTTTATTCTAAGTATGTAAATATAGTTCATCCCTCACAGAAATACTTTGCTACATCTATCTTAACCAGAGGTGTGTTGTTGTCACTGTCACAGAGGTGAATGTTGCATTTGTTCTTTACTAGAAAAGCCTGGCCATAGGCACATGCATAATGTAGAGGGGTCCTACAAAAGTTAGAAGATTGGTTAGGGGGTCATAGAGCTCCTACTTAAAACAGACAATGATTCATGCCATTGTGAACATTAGATAGCATGTAATTCTTCTCCCTTCAGAACAATTTCTTCAGAAGAAACAACAATATTTACTAAATTAACAGAAGATCAGCTCATTCTAGCTGCCTATTCCACTGACTTCTTTCCTTTCCCTCGTCCCCGCTGCTGAGGATCAAACTGAAGGGCACTCAGCACTGAGCCATAACCAGAGCCCTTTGGGTTTTTTACTTTCTGCTATTGTCTCACTAAGTTGCCCAGGCTAAAATTGAACTTGCAATCTTTCTGCCTCACCTTCCTTCCCAAATTACTTGGATGATAAAAAGGCACCATTGCTTCTGACACCAGTGAATCTTGATTTTTGTTGTGTTTGTTAATAATTTTTCAAATGTATTTTAAGGACTACATATTTCAATGTTTAAATGTTTCTTCATACATAAAGACCCATCACACAATTCATGGTGCCTTACCTTAATTGAAAGTTATAAAACAATTGGTCAATGGCAGTTCCAGTCATATGAGTTACATTTAAATAAATTTTAGTTATAATAAGTACTATAGATAAAGAGTACCAAAGATAAACAGCAAAAGACCAAATTTAAAGCAAAGTTATTCTTGCTTTTTTTTTTTCAAGAAACATAAAGCTAAAGGAGATGTATGATTGAAATGGATTAGTATCTTTCACTTACTTTGTTCAGGATTTAGATTTGTAGCACATAAGTAAATTGGATATATCCAATACAATAACAGTATTATTGTGATCTTAACTTTTTAAATGGGTAGTTTACAAATTCTTATCTCCATAAGTGCTTTGTTTGAAAAGTGGGAGAAAATGCTTCACTTCAATTTGAGTTCTATTACTTCAGTTTTAAATCTACAGTCAGGGAAACACAAAGGAGGACCAGAGAGAGAGTAAAATATATCAATTATATAATAGATATTCAGGTTATGAGTGGTGAGCAAATAAAATGAAAGAACAGATAAAGTATACTTGGGGAGTTCAGTGTGTGGTGTTTGTATCTTTGTTTGTTCTCTACTGGGAATTGAATCCAGAGGCACTTAAACACTGAGCCACAGCCACAGCACTTTTTTTTTTTTATTTTGAGACAGTATCTCCCTAAGTTGCTAAGGACCTCTCTACCTTGCCAGGACTGGCTTTGAACTTGTGATCCTTTTGCCTCAGCCTCACATGTTACTGGGATTAAAGACTTACACCAAGGCACCTGGTGGGGAGTTCAGCATTTTTAAACAAAAGTTTTGTAAATAAAAACAATACTTTCACATTAGTAATAATCTTGTATATTTGCTTTCTTTTACTTTCATAAGAATGTATCTAAAACAAAATGATAACTACAATTGCATTTATAAAATAAATCTGTATGGAATGAAACATACATGTGAAAGAAATGTATAGGCAGTAACATTTATAAGCACCGATGAAAAGATTACCTTCTCAAGAGGCTAAAAGTCGGCTGAAGACATCCATCTACAGAAAAAACACACATATACACAGAAGTTAGTAGAATGAGAAATTTTTATCAGCACAGGATTCATCTCCCTGCTCCTCCCAAAGATTATTAACAAGAATTTCTCACTAAAACTTTTACACATATTCATTGTAGAAATAACAGGTAGGAAAAAGGAAAAATAAAAGTTAATGTGGAATTTTACCAGAAATACCCATATGGAAGGTGAAAAAAACCAGAACACAGAAAATGCCAAAATACTGCGTTAATACAGAGCATATTAATAACTGTCAACGAAACTAAGGTAGGAACAACAAACAGAATGATAAGGAAGAATTGCCAATATTGAAAATAAAATAAACATTAAATGAAAGAGAAAAATAAATTTTTACAATTTGAATGCTAAAAATAGCAAATTTTACTACATTTTGCACATATTTGTGCCTAACATGAGACCACAATCTATTTGTGTGTAAGTATAATCGATCTTCATTTTCACTTGATATTCAAAAAGACATCTTCCCAGGTCAACATACATCTACATCTTTGTCATCTTCAATGGTCACATAATATTTCATGCTAGAAATGCACTGCATTTTCTTCCTACAAGCAATTCTATGAGTCCTTTCTAACACATTGCTATTTTAAGCTGTGCTCAGAAAGACAATCTGTATGCATCTTTTATTATACCCTGAAGATATTTATTATAAAGAAATAGATGTGTACAGAAATATATTTATTAAAATGTACAATACTATCATTTAATTGAGAATTCATAAGCAACTCAACATTTAAACAGCAGTGTAAATACCACTACTCTTCATATCACAAGTTTTGTAGCTAAAAACTGTGTTTTATTTATCATTAAACTTAAATTCCTTCTCTTATCAGGGACACAAAGTACTTTTTCCTATATCCATAGGTCAATTGTGCATCTGGAAAAAAATAATTTTCCTAATTTAAATTAGGGTTCAGGGGTTCTGGGATACAGCTTAGTGGCATAGAACTCGAATAACATGCTCAAGGCAATGGGATCAATCTCCAGGAACAAAATTATAAAGTAAAAGAGAAAAAGAACAAAAGGAAGGCTTCTTCTTCAGTTCATTCTTTCCTAAGGATTTGCCCACATAAAATGTATACAGAAGGATTTGTGTTTTCTTCTAACATTTTTCTCATTTTGTATTATTTAAAATTAATAATCCATATTGTATCAGGGAATTATTTTTGTGACATAAAAATCCAGCTAGTTTTCTACAAACAATTATCATGCATTTCATTGACACATAACTCTTTTCCTACTAGTATGATATGTCATCAGTAGCACATTCTAAACTTTTTCGGATATTTGAGTGTTTCTTGGTTTTATTTTGTTCCACTCATTTATCTGACTTTTTGTCTGTTGGCAAAAAAATTCTAACAGTTCATGGGGAATTTGGTACACAGAAGGGTAAGTCTTTATTACAAACATTTTCTTAGTGTCATCATTATCCTAAAAGTTTGTATGTAGAACTCAAAAGTAATTAAATTCTGACATTTTTATTTCATTATTTGAATTTGTTAATCATAGAAAGAGCCACACTTCGGTAATAATGAATGTATCTCTTAAAATACACCACACCAGGGCTCAGGCCCTGCCTATTCCAGGTCTCTTGAGAACAAGGCAGAGAAGGGGCATTAGGGCAGCAGCTTGCATCTGTGCAGCCTGGGCATATCCTGCCTGCTGCCATCTTGACCATGGTGTCTGAAAGCCTATACCACTTGGATGCTTTGAAGAGATACTCTGATCTCCCTGCCTAAATAAACAAAAGAACAAGAATGCATAACTATAGGAAATGATACCTGGACAGTATAAATCTGCAGATTTGCATTCAAAGTATTGAGGGAATGTTCCTTAGTGTGGGCAGCCTGAAGTGGTGAAAGATTGAAAACCGACAATGTGCTTGGTACTTTGGAGAATGTAAATGCTGCCATGAAGGACCTCTATTCTACTCTCTCAGAACTCATTAAAGTTAACTTTGCACTTGCAGAAAAAAAAAAAAACAGGGATTCTCAATAATCTTGTAGGAAGACGTTGGGGTGATTAAGAGACATTGAGAACACATGAACTAGTGAGTAAAGCACATGAGAAGTAAGAAACACATAAAGAGGAGTAGAAGTGGCAACCCTAAGAAAACTAATGTAAAAAGTAAATGCAAAACTAAACCCAGAACAGGGAACAAAGGACCATGGGCCCTCATCAAAGACCCTTATAAGTCTCCAGAGTAGACAAAATGTAAACATAAGTATATAGCAATAAAGTGGTGCAGTTATATTATAAGTGACATTTTTTTATATAATGAACTTTCCTACCTGGACTTAATATATTTTTTTCTAATTTTTATTGATTCTTCTTAGTGAGACATAATATTAGGGTTAGGGTTAGGGTTAGGGTGGCATAAGCATGGGCTGGGTAAGGACACAGGTCAGCCCCCTCCAGCCTCAGGCAGAAGCTCCTTCTCGCTGACCCTTCCACCTCTTCCCTGGTCCTTTACCCTAGGAGGCTAGCACAGAATGCCAAGTCCTCCCTAGGGCAGGACCCAGGGACAGAGGGGCGGACCTGGCACATCTCCTAGCTCAGACACTTCCCTTCTGGGGGATGCCCCAACGTGTCAGGAGGTATGCTCCCACCCTCTGCCAGCCCCTCCAATGGCTCCTCAGCCCCCTTGATGAGATCCCTGTGGTGAACAACTCTGCAGTGCTTGCTCCCCAGCCTCCAGAGGGAATACATCAGAACCCAGGAAAACAGCTACATTTTGTTTCCGAGTCACTGCTCATTAATAAGGCCTGGGTGTCAGACTACCCCAAGGTCTATAGGTACTAGGTGCTGATGAGTCCCTGGGAGTGTGAAAGCCAAGCAGTCCTGTGAAAGAATACCTGGCCACCTTTCTGCCCTGTGTTCCGGGGAATGGCCAGGATGGTGCAGGCTTCTTCCCCATCGGCTCCGCCTCCCCCAATAGGCCCCTTGCCTCTGGGGCTGCGGGCCTCCAGACTCTATTACCTGTTCTTCTGATCTCTGTCATTGACATGACAGATCCCTAGAACATGGAGACGCCTCACCTCATCTAAGTCGCTATCCCTGGCAGCTTTGTGTTGTCTGCCTGTGGGGTTGTACCCAACCACCTTTGCTCCTACTCAGATGGTGCCCAGGGTCTTCAGGACGCTGTTGAACCTTGTCACGGGGTAGGGATGGCGGTCAGAGGTCACCTACTGTGTGCCTGTTGGGTGGGGAGAGGCAAGTCCTCCATAGGGCAGGACCTAGGGACAAAGGGGCGGACCCAGCACAGACCTAGAACTTCTTGGGAATGGCCCCAACTTGTCAGGAGGCGCGCTCCTCTGCCCTCTGCCGCTTCTCAGCCTCTTCACTGCTGAGGTCCTGGCGGGCTCCACTCCGGCGCCGACCCCCGCAAAAAAAGTCGTTGCTTACAGTTGCGTGCCCAGGCACGCGCACAGGAACGCCACCCGAACTGTCTAACCGGCGGCACCAACTGTGCTCATACCAGACCCACCGCGTGAGCTTCAGCCACCTCGGGGCTCTTCTGCCCACTTAGAAGGTGGAGGTGTGGGACACCAGGTCCCAGAGGCTGTGGCGCTGGAAGAGGAAGTAGAGCGTGGCGCACCTCAGGGACCCAGTACATAACTGTAGAAGGAGAGCTGGCCCTGCCTTCGCCAAGCGCAGCTTGCAGTTCAGCACGGGTGGAGCTGGATGAAGATTAAGCCTCCTGCTGCCAGATCAAAAATCACTAACCTGGTGGGCTGGAGCACCAGGGGCTCTGGAGGCAGAGGCAGGAGGATCCCGAGTTCAAAGCCAGTCTCAGCAAGCTGCTTAGCAACTCAGTGAGACCCTGTCTCAAACAAAATATTTTAAAAGGGGCTGGAGATGTGGCTCATGGTTAAACACCCTAGGTTCAACCCCCAGTACCAAAAATAAAATAATAAATTAAAATAAATCAAATTTTTAAAAAATTTACTGAGCTCAGTACCCAGAATACCTTCCACAAGCTCCTGCAAGGCCAGACCAGAGCTACCCAGGCTCAGCACCACCGAGGCTGCTCTGCTGCACTCCACAGTCTTGCCTTGCTGCCCAGGGGACACCAGGACCCAGAACCTCTTAGTCTCTGAGAGTGCTGTTGGTGCCTGTCTTTCTTAGGGTTGTGCTCCTGCCATGTACTCTTTCTGGCCCCAGGACTCTATCAGCCTAGGCGGCTCAGTATTGAGCTGGAGCCTCCATTCATGTCTCAGGCCTGCTCAAGGCCAGGACTGTCTACCACAGGCCAAGAAAGAGGCTTTACAGCCCAGCTGTCCCTCTACCCCAGGGGATAGCCCCTCTCAAGCAGAGGTCCCTTCTCCCTTTGTAGCCACCTTCCAAACCGAGGGCAAAGGCACTGCTGGGAGGTTCCAAGGGAAGGCACAGGGTCGTTCCTTGGTTAAAACTGAGTTTAAAGTAGGCTGGAATTTATAATGTAAAGATTATAAATCTTTTGTTTTTTTCATTATTATTTACTTACCTACTTACTATTAACAATTGAACCTGGGGACACTTTAGAACTGAGCTACATCCCCAGTCTGACCTTCAACTTGTGATCCTATTGTCTCAGTCTCCTGACTTGCTAGGATTAAAGGTGTACACACATCCTGGAATATGGCCTCAACACTATCTTCTCCTTCCTTTCCCCTTATTCTTTCCTCTTCCTCCATTCCCCCTTCCTTTCTTCACTTCTGCTGTTTTCTTTCATTTTTCTTTGTACTGCATATTGCACCAATGTATGCTGTGCACTGAGCAGCATCCATAATCTTTTTCAGTTTTCATTTTGAGAAAGGATCTCACTAAATCGATGAGGCTGGTATTGAACTTGCTCTCCTCCTGCCTTGGCCTTGAAGAGATTTGCTAGGAGTAGAGGAGTGCACCAAATGGTCTGATTTTTTCCTTTTTAAAAACAACATCTTAGTCTTAATTTTTCATGATTGATGACATATTTTTCACTTTATGAATTCTTTCTTATTTAAATAAAGCCTTTTAAACAATTTACTTTGCTAAACTATTTTACAAAGATACTGTATATTTGACAATTATTTATAAATTTATAAACTGAATGTTTTCTAAAGAGAGCTTCACCTGTATTCTTCACATAAAGCTGAATTAATGTCTTCATGTGGCTACAGACACTGTAAAACCAGAACAGAAGGAAGAAGCATATCCACTGACAGAATACCCATGGATGAACATTATGTGCACAAGGAAATAACCACTGTGTACTTAACAATACTTTTCCTTCCTACCAAAAATAGGACATTTTAAAAAAAGTAACCAATGGGCTGGGGAAGTGGCTCAAGCGGTAGCGCGCTCGCCTGGCATGCGTGCAGCCCGGGTTCAATCCTCAGCACCACATACAAAGATGTTGTGTCCACCGAAAACTAAAAATAAATAAATATTAAAAATTCTCTTTTAAAAAAAAAGTAACCAAATTTTTATAAACACAATTGCTTTCTACAACACTAAAGATTCAAAATTTTCTGTTGACAGAATGTTTTAGTGTTGATACTTGTGTGAAAAGTGTTTGACTTATGTCATGTTGAGATTGACTACTGCAGTTGCTTCATTTAGGTCTTGAGGGTTTAAAAATGTGCAACTAACTTTTGATAATTCACAGAAAATCTAATTTAATAACATGACAAAGTAGTAAGATACTGTTTCTATATTTGACTTTTACATTACAGCACATATACATGAGGCAGAGTATACAACATTTCCACCTAAGAAAGAACTAAACAAAGGACACCAAGCAAGAAAAGACTTTAGCAAGAAGCATGCAGTGCTTACTAACCCTTCTGAGTTTGAATCAGATCAACTATTGTGAGGCTGCACAAAGACATAAAGAGGTCGTGGGAAAACACTAGAGTCAATTACAGACAACCAGTGGCCAGAACATACCCAGAGACATTGGCTTTTAGACTAATAATGGTCTTCTTAAAAAAAAAATAGTCTTCAGTTGGAAGAGGAAGAAATTGACTGGGTTGAAGATGGGGAACTGCCCTATGACTGAATGAATGGGGGAGTCTCAGAGATCCACAGAAAGACAGCCTCTTTTAAAGTTAACAAACCATAGAAGAGGGAATTGGTTTGTGCCTGAGATGTCAAGGGAAGATAGATGAACTGTGAAATCTACCTGCAGATTCAGTGTCTCCTCAGGAGCTACCACCAACTGGGTTCTTTTTCTAGGCTTTCTTCATGATATATCAAAAGCCCAGCCTTTTTATTTTATATCTCCAAGACCCAACTGTGAATGATTCACCATGTCAGAAGACACCTACCAAAGAATCAAGCGGAGTCTAGGAGAGAAGCTCAGACACAATCATGTGACAGCTCTGAGCAGCTGGAGGGATGATCTTGTGGTCTACCTCAGAGATAGAAGCCAAGGATACTTTTTAAAATTTATGTAGTGTTTGGAGCTATGTGACAATGAGTTCCAGAGTTGGATCTGGTAGAAAACTTACTACATGCAGCTCAACACAGGTGAACAATATTCTCTTTCCTGATCACAGTACCATGTTCAGAAGCATTTGAAAATGTTGCATACACTTCCACCACAAAGGTTCCAAGCAATTCCCTGCATAGCCCATTAGAGCCCTGAGGGAGAGCCCCATTTCAAAAGATTCCACTGTGGGAACGTCTGCGTGAGAGATCAGAAACCCCTGCATGGCTCATAGCTCCAAGACACAGCAGCCACATCCCTTCACAGTCATGGTGTTTCCCACCTCATAGTCTGAGCTCAAGAATATGCTTGAATCAAATGTATGAAATATGACATGTCAAGAGCTTTGTAATGTTTTGAACAACTAATAAAAAAAAAGAAAAAAAATTAAAAAAAAAAAGAATGAGACTGACACCACGAATGTGCCCCAAAATGGTTAACAGTAGGTTTGGTCTTGCTGTTGGACAGTCTGTAGAGTCAAATGCAGTGGTCAAATGCAGTTCTACAGGCAGACCACTTCTGCTATGTTTAGAGACAATAGAAAGAAACCTCGTGGAAACTGGACTCTTGCACACCCCTAAATTCACTGACTGAAGGACTCCAGAAGTGAGATCTATACTATAGCCTGGCCCGCAGGGTCCACAGGTAGAGGGTTTATCAGGTAACTCTTATTAGAGACAGACCACATCTGTGGGTACAAAAACAAATACTGAGCACGATTATACCTAGGTAGCTGCCAACTTTGCCTCAGCACACTTTCAGGGCTAAGAAGGAGAGGAGCTCATCATGCACACCACTCCCAAGCTTGGCCTGTTTGGGCTGCAAGTGAGAAGGAAGAATTGAATACAGTTTCTTCCAAGAAACCTCCCATAACTACTGGATTCTAAAACTAATATTACTGGATGGAAGTTGTTCCTTTTAATTACATCACCAAGAAAAAATATCAAAATGTTCTTGTTGTTGCTCTTGATCTTTGGTACTGTATATGGATCTCCTTCACTATTTGCCTCTCATGTTCTTTCTAATTTGTGGAATCTTTTGGTCTGTTTATTTTTTTTTTCTCTTTAGAATCATACTCTAATGAAGTCCCATCCTTTCTCATGTTTTTCTTTTCTCCCCATTTATTCTTCTGCCCCTGTTCCCTGCCAGAACTTTATTTTTTCTTTTACCTCTTTATTTACATGTTGTTAAATTTACTGTCACTAAAGCTTATTTTTTCTCATTCAGGTGCATATTGTTATTTCCCACTTCTCCAATTTTATTAATGGAGTCATTATTAGTTGATATATATTTTGCTTCTGTGTTATTACTATTACTGGTTATTCTTTCCTCTTAGAGGATTCTGGTAAGTGAACCTAACACTTTAGTCCTGTTCAGTTGGGGCTCTAACACTGAGATATATCTGTGTCAAAGATCACATCTCAAAGAGAAAATTGCTCACTAAAAGGATCCACATATTATAGTAGAATAGAAATGTATCCAACTTTATTCACAGACCTCAGCATAGTAACACAGACAACATGAGAAAACAAGATAATACAATACCTCTAAAATTTCACAACTCCCCAATAACTGAATCTATACATTCATATCATAATCCTCACTGAAGAAGATGGACAAACATTGTTTATTAATATTTACTCATTGTCTACACAGAAAGAAAATGAGCTAAGCAGGTTCTGTTTACACCCTAATAGCAAATGTAGCATGTTGAACAAGCACTAAGTTTTTATTTTTATTTTTTAAATATTTTATTTATATATGA